GTAAACTTTAGAATAAGCTTGTCCATATCTACAGAAAAACTTGCTGGGCCCTGGGCAAGTGGCTCAGTTGGTTGGAGCTTCATCCCCTAACATCAAAGAGTGCGGGTTCAATTCCCAGTCAGGGCACATACGTAGGTTGCGGGTTTGATCTTGTCAGGGTGTATAAGGGAGGTAACCAATCGATGTTTCTCTTCTCCCTTCCTCTCTCTGGAAAAAAATAAAATAAATCAATAAACATACCCTCAAGGGAGGATTAAAAAAATTTAAATCAGCCCTGGATAGTTTGACTCAGTGGTTAGAGCGTTGGCCCACGGACCAGCGTCCCAGGTTTGGTTCTTCCTAAGGGCACGTACCTTGGTTGTGGTTCGTCCTAACCCCAGTTGGGGTCATGTGGGTGGCAACCAGTCAGTGTATCTCTCTCACATTGATGTTTCTCTCTCTCCTCTTCCTCCTTCCTTCCCTCCCAATCTGAAGATAAATGCAAATATGCCCTCGGGTGAGGATTAAAAAATATTTAAATCAGCTCTCAGAACCAGTTACAGTGATACCTCGGTTCTCGAACATAATTCGTTCCAGGAGGACGGTCGAGAACCGAATTGTTCGAGAACCGAAGCAATGACCAATAGGAAAGCGTGACTCCACAAAGCGTGACTCTCTCTCTGCACTCACACTGATGACGCAAGCAAGGCGCGCTGGGCCGAATGAACGCCATTCGGCTCAACTCGGCTCATCTCGGAAGTTCGAGTTCCAAATATTTGTTCGGATTCCGAGACAAAAGTTTCTCGAATCTCCTGGTCGAATACCGATTTGGTCGAAAACCGAGGCATTCGAGAACCGAGGTATCACTGTATCTGGAGGTAGAGGCTTCCACACTGGTTGATCCAATAGTGTAAGGATGTCACCCTGACCCAGGTATGCTCTTTCTCTGCTTTGCTGGTCGCAGCACACCTTTTCCCCAAAGCCTAGAGAAACTTACGGCTGGGGAGTGGCAGCCAGAGCACTTTACTGAAGTCATTATTAGTTCTAATAGTTTTTGGGTCAATTCTATACACAGTATCATGTCATCTGCAAATAATGAGAGTTTACTTATTACTTTCCAATTTGGATGTCTTTTATTTGTCTCATCTAATTGCTATGGCTAGGACTTTCAAAGGAAATAAAAAAACATTTTTAATAATCACAGTTTGTGTTGGTCTTAATATCATGATTCTGACTGTGATATATGTAAAATGAGATGCAGCTAAGCAATTTGTGATAAATTCTGTCATCCTGAATATCCTTGTGAATTAAAATTTCTGATATAGGACAAAGATAACTTAGATTTAAGATAGAAAAGGTAAATAAAAACCTGAGGATCCTGAATTTGAACTGGAAAAATCAGTACAATCATGATACATTTTATCTTAAAACACAGAACATGTATTTCCAAGTTCTGTCCACTAAGAAGCGATAACCACAACAGAAGCAGTGAATGTCCTAAGTAGCCACTCTTCCTTAAAGAAATGCCTGACTTCAGGGCTGGGGCAGGAAGTGTATCTGGTAAACCTGTATCTTCATAAACAAGATAGTAAGGAACCTATGAAAATTAGTAGTGTAACATTTAAAGAAACTAGAAGTCAAATCAAAAAGGCCAAAAATTAGATAATTTGAGCATCAACAAGGCTAATACTGCAAATATTTTCAGTATCAAACATGTTAAATTCTGAAAAAAATTGGTAACGAAAAGGCATCACATACTTATCATGTTGGAGCAGTTTATTTTTCCTTTACCCCTAATTTCTAATCCATCACAGACTAAGACTTTGTAAAATGCCAAAAGATTTATAAAATTAAAATAAAAAGAAACCACAAAAACATACAAATCCCATATTTAATTATTAGATTCAACAAACGGAAAAGTCAAACTACAATAAACGTTTTAAACATTCTCAATTTCTGTACTTACGCCATCACAAACTGGTACCAAACAGTTCGTGGGCTGGCACTAGATGTAAATTTGAGTAGCATGGCTTTACAGAACCAAATCATCTCATTTTCTTATCCAATAAATTCCAAGAAGAGCTTATATATTAAAAATAATTTAAGAGGCTATCAAGCCAGTCACAATGTATGAACCTTATTTGGATCTTAATCCAAACACAGTAAAACAAAACAGAAATCATTTCTAAGACAGCAGAAAATCTGAACTGGATTTTATTTAAATAAAAAATACTTTCAATGATATCACTGGTTGCATTAAAAAGATTCCTCCTTCTAGAAATACATAATGAAACACTTATGGGTAAAAGGGTATGCTAAAATATAAGGTAAGAGAGGAAATATATAACTGATCGTGAGTTAATAATTGCTGAAACTAGGTATAGTATATAAGGGTATATTATCCTATTCTTTGTGGAAATATGTTTGATATTTTCTACAATTAAATATTAAAATAAAAAATATAAACTATAAAATCTGAATCACAAATTTCTTTCTAAAAAATAAAGATAAAAGAAGCAGTTTTGGACAGGCCAACTTCCATAGCACTCTGTGCCAGAAGGGTAACAAAATCTAAAAACTTATTAGAGATGGTGTTGAATGCAATCTTTTCTTGCTTTGGTGTCCCGATGATGAAATGATAGAAAATTAAAAGTAAGCTGCAATCCATTTATATTCCTCAAACAACTAGTAAGCAGAAACTGCTATATAGATGGCATTCAATATGTGAAGTGTGAACAAAGGAGGTATTTAAAGGTTTTCTGAAGAAAATCTAGAACAATTCTAAAATATGCAGAGTGTATATTTATTTTGTATTTTATTTTTATCCTCACCCGAGGACATTTTTGCATTTATATTAAGACAGAGAGGGAGGGAGAAAGGGAGGAAAAGAGAGAGAAACATCAACGTGAGACACACATCCGGGACACTCTGGTCCGCAGGCTGATGCTCTAACTGCTGAGCCAAACCGGCCAGGGCATGTATATTTTTCTTTAGAAAAACACAAAAATCTTTTGTATTTGGAGCCCTTTGATAAAAATCCCTGGTCTTAAGTGCAAAAAGAAGCAGAGAGGAACATTATTTACTATTTATAGCTAACTATCAATGTCTATCACTAGGATGAACAGAAAAATTAGCCTTAGCACTTTTATGCTTTAGCGGTTCCTTTTATTCTAATTTAGAATTCCATTGTCTACATAATTAATTTGACAGAAATAAGAGTTTCACACTTAAATTCTCAAGATTAAATTCTAATGTTGATCCAGGCAATATTTGAGAGGCTCATAACCTTTTTTTTTTAATCCTCACCCAAGAATGTTTTTCCCCCCCCATTGATTTGAGAAAGAGGAAGGGGGCGGTGGGGAGACAGAGAGAATCATAGATCGGTTGCCTCTAGCATGCACCTTGGGATTGAACCTGCAACTTCGGTATGTGCCCTGACCAAGAATTGAACCCACAAACGACCTTTTAGTACAGGGGAAAACGCTCCAACCTAGCCTCAGGGGCCAGGGCAACTTCTCTGGGTTAAAAACTTCAGAAGCAACTCAGGAGAAGTTTCTTTAAAAAGAAGCTTCTTATTTACTCTGCTTTAGCTTGCTGGCATCTTATTCTCCAAACGTTTAAGAGCTCTTCTCTCACCTCACAATCCATCCCACTACTTAGTCTATGTCATGTAGTATTTTGTCACTTCTCTCAGGCTGAGGCTAAGTCTGAACTGAGTGTGCAGTGAGTTTGGTGAGCAAGAACTAGAAGTTGCTGCTTTTTGTTCTTCACGTCACTCTTGCTGTGAGGTAACTCTTGTGCTGTGATGAGAAAGAAAGCTAAAAATGTTGAAAATGTTGTATTATTTTCCTTCACTCACCTTCTATTATTAATTGGTACATTCTAATCTTGGAAGAGCTAAAATATCAGGTACCAAAATAATTCAAAGTCAGCAGGCTTATTTCTGAAGCATGGCCTAATCTAAAATTTATAGTACAGGACTGTGCCCAGCATTTACAATCCACTGTAGTAAATAATAATTCAAATGTTTAAAAAGCGACTCTACTCCTATCTCTTAAATTTGTCATTGGAGTTCAAATAATATAATGTATGTAAAGCACATGGCATTATGCCTGGTACAGAAGTTCTAAAGATTATTATCATTACTGCTAGTATTGTTATTCAATTCTTTGAGTGATAAAAGTTTGAAGGAAAATAATTGCTTTAGATTAAGGATTTTTCAATGGAAGAAGTTGCAATTGTGTTCCTATTACAAATATTTAAAATATAATAATTTGCATATCTGAAATCTAAAATCAAGAGCTATGACAGCATATTTGATCTCAAAGGAAGGCTATAAAATTTCATCTATTTTGGTATATGTTTTATTAAAGTCATCTTACCTGCCTCTAACATTTTATGGGAAAGACTAATAGATTGATTTATCTCTAAACTAATTCAGGGTAAGAGTTCATTCTCACCTCTTCTTTCCTGTATTAGGCATGTTTGCTCATTGCTAAACCTTTTCAGTTATTCATAATCTTAGAATTTTTAGACAAATTAAAATACATTTCCTTGTAGCTTATGTTGCAAGCATCACATGATTAAAAAACAAAATTCATGGGGGAAAAAATGTGACTCTAATGGTGCATAGAAGTAAAGGCTGCTTTGTCTTTGTTGTTTCAGACTAATATTAAATGACTTGTAAGAAGCTACCTGAAATGGTTGTGGCAGAAATAGTAGCTATGTCCAGAAGCAGAAAAAAATAGCTTCCCAACACATTTTAAAAATCAAGTAGAATTTTACTCAAACAGATCTGGGCAAACATCTTGCAAACCAATTTTAGCCAGAAAAATAGGGAGTTGTATGAAATCTTTGACCTGTACATGGATAGCTGAAGAAAAGTAAAACACTGGCATGCTTTAATACTTGAAGAATTCCCAAATATTCAAGCCACAGTGGTCATAGAGAATAAGCTTGTATGTGATCAGAGGTAAACAAGTCTTTAATAAATCAGTCACAAACACAAGATGGTATTTTAAATATACAGTAGGAACATTTATTTTAACACTTCTAAAAGATATTTCTCCATGCCTGATGATTTGATATAAAAATCAAACCCATCATACTTTCCCCATCAGTCTCTACATCAAGGGCAATCAGAAATTTGTACAACATGAATATTTGTTTCTGAAACAAAAATTACAAATTAAGTGATAACAAAAATACACAAATCAACTGGACCCTAAACAAATTTCTAACAAATTTTTCCCCTTTCCCCCAATCACCTAGAGCTGGAGCTTCTTTCTTCAACCTCATTCTGCTCCTTTTCCTTTCTTTGCTTGGCCATGAACTTCTGTTAAAACCAATTTGCAATACAAATTAGATGTTGCTTTGCTGCGTATACAAACAAATCTAATATATTTCATTGCATTTACAATTTAAAAGAGCCTGATCCTATAAAATAAAGATCTGAAACACAGTGCCTTACATTAACATTCCTTCCTTCCATTCATCAGTCATCTGATATTAATGGTTACCAGGCATTATGCTTGGTGCTTGGGGACTCAGAGGTCAAAAGGATAGGGAAGGCCCCTTACCTCATGGAGCTTACATTCTAGTGGGGGAAGAGAAATAATAAAAAAATAGATAAGATAATTTTGGGTTGTGGTAAGCTCTATAAAGAAAAAATTAATAAGGTAATTGATTAAGACTGACCCTTTAAGTGGGGGAAAGAACATTCCACTTTAGCTCGGTCTTTTTTAGGCAAAACCCTTTCTGGGAAGCTGATATTTAAGTACAAACCTAAAAGATGAAGAATAACCAGCAATACAAATGGAACAGCAATATAAAAGTGTAAAGGGAGCCCTGGCCAGTTTGGCTTAGCGGTTGGAGCATTGGCCTGCGGACCAGAAACTCCTGGGTTCAGTTCCCACTGGGGGCACATACCAAAACAAACCAAAAAAATAAATAAAAGTGTAAAGGCAGCAACAGGGCTTTTGTGTACGAAAAATAAAGAGAGAAGAAAACCTGGAACATAGCAATTAAGGGCTTGAGCCTACAATAACACAAAGCTAGGTTCAAATCCTAGGACTTCCATTAACTAGCTACGTGACCTTGGGTTTATTCTTTAAGCCTGTTTCCTCATCTTTAAAATTAGATAGCTTCCCCTTCATAAAATTGATAAGGGGGAAATTAAATAAGTTACCAGCAAATAAGAACTTAATAAATGTCAGGTGAGTGTCTGTGCCATAAATTCTATATGGAAAATGTATAAACAACTCTATTCAAACAGGAGAAACCAGAACTATGGCTGACCATGATTCTTTAGAGTAGCATTCCCTGAAGTTGTGTACAAGTTGGGAAAAAGGGAGGGGTTGTGATTAAATCAGTTTAGAAAATGGGCTATAGTGAAGCGGTTCTTTCTGACTAGACAATTCAGAAACTGTAATATGCTATGTGCCCATGACTCTGCAAGAGCATACTAGAATACAGTTTCCCACACTTAAAGAAGTGTCACATGGGGCTAGTGACCTGCACAATCTACTCTGGCAAATGCTGCCAGAAGAAAGAAAGATTAGAAGTTACCGGCACGTACAATGAAGGAGAGGAATAGGATTCTGAACTTAAGAGAAATCAACTGTACATTTTAGGTGGACACTTAACTAGTTTGATTACAATACCATCACCTGAAGATTTGATGAGGAGTTGAGAATAAAAATAATTTACCTCTGTATTTTTCTTATGACGTGTACTCTTGCAGTGATTTGTCATTGCTCTTTCACCTGAGTAGAAGAGAGAACAAATTGGACAGAAGAATCCAGGCTTCGGTACAAGAAAGTCTAAATCTAGAGGAAAAGAAGAGAGAGGAAAAAAAAAAAGGAGAAAAATTATATTTTAGCCATGTTAATTTATCTAAACATGACAAAAAACTAAGCAAAGTATATACTTACATACAAATGTAATATACACTACTATATATCTGGGGATCAAGAGCAATTGAGCTTTTAATCACAAAAATTAGGTCTTTCTTTATTTGGCAAATTCTGTAACATCCAGAGCCCCAGGAACGCCAGGGAATTCCTTCACAACAGAAATTCATTAGAAATGACTCTCATAGAGAGTCTTTGAAATAAACCTCTTTGGAATCCCCTATTAAAATAAAACAGGAAAGAGGCAGAATGATGGGCAACTGTCTGCTTGAGGACTATTCTGACAAATAAGGAGCCCTTTAGATCATCTTAGCTAGCCATGAACAAAGTTTGTTAGCTAAGTTTTTCAGTATGTTCTACTTAAAATATTTCTACCTGAGCAAGTATTAATTAAATTCTTACAGAGTAGTAAATAACGTACCACAAATTAAAAAAGGGACATATCCTAGACTTCAAGAGTACAATCAATAAAATATCCTTGCTAGATGAAATCTACAGAAGTGCCAAAGTGCAAAACTTGCTAATTTCCACTTTAAAATAATCATTTAAGCAAGGTTATTGCATCATTCTTCTAAACAAAAGAACGTCTGTTATGGTACTGAATTGTTATTTCACATAGATAAGTAAAAAAATGTCATGTTGTGGCTCAGTGGTTGAACGTCAATCCATGCACCAGGACGTTGCCAGTTCGATTCCCCAGGGAACATTCCCAGGTTGTAGGCCCAATCCCGCTGTGGGACATGCAGGAGGCAGCCAGTCGATGCTCTCTTTCATTGATGTTGCTATCTCTCTCTCCCTGTCCCTTCCTGTCTCTCTAAAAGTCAATAAAAAGAAAAAAAAAAAAGTTATTGTTACTTCACCTTCAGAGGCATCAGCTTCCACTGAGTTCCCTGAGGAAGAGTCCTCAGTCTTCTTGCGTTTTCGTTCTGGTTCTGAATCCTTAAAGTCAGATTCTTCATCAACTGAAGTCATTAATTTTTTTTAAGGAGAAAAAAAAAAAGGTTATTTATAATAAATTTACAGCCTTTGTAAAGCAAACTTTAGATAATCCCTGCCTTCAAAGATTAATTTATGGCTCCCTCTCTAAGTAAATCTTCCTTAGTTAATCCCACCAAACCACTCTTTCAAGATTCTCTGATGTAAGGACTACATAGGTAAATCTGTTTAACCTTATTAAATGAATGTAAAAGAAATGGAATAAATCTAACAGCTCATTTTACTTGGACTAAAACTAACAGCTCATTTTACTTACAAATAGTTCCAGAAAGAATTTAAAGGGTAATAGAAGTTCAATAATTACTGTCAAGAGTTACCTTGTGTATGCAAAGTGTTATGTTGGAGGAAAGAATGTGGATTAAGGGGAAAAGGATGTGAGCAGAGAATAATTCTGATGCCCTGTACTGAAGCCCTTCCAAACAAAAAACAAAACCTCAAAAAACAAAAACAACCCAACTAGCCCAAACTGATGGACTAAGACCCTTGTAAGAATCACAAGTGAAAAAACAAGTTAAAACCTAGCAGAATAAACAATATGTAAGAAGCACGTCCATGTTAGGTGACACTGCATAATACGATCTTGGGGGAAGACAAAGATAGAAACTGGTTCCAAGCCTTCTTGATTACCTCAGTAGCTGAAATGCCTTACACTGTTGCACAGTACTTGACAAATCTCTTTCACATACAAATCATTCTTTAAGCATTTATCTCGAGTGAGATGGGCAGGTCAAACTATTATTATCCCTATTTCTTCAGAGATGGAGAAAGCAAAACCAAGAGAGTTAAAACTGATATGCCCAAGGTTGCATGGCTTAGTTAAGTGACAGAGGCTAGAACCAAGACTTCTGTCTTCAAGTCCAGTGCTCTTTTCAGGAACCTGGGCTACTTTCACAATATCATTATTTATTCTTCTCTTATTTCTCACATTTTACTGGTTATTAAGTCCTAAAGAGTGGATAAAAAAGACTGTATCCTTTTTCTTGACTTGTTGGTTAAAATAACCTCCAGTATCTTCCTACAAAAGTTTATTCCCTCATCAAAGTAATATACTTTTTCACATTTGCTCCTGAAACTCCAAAGACATATTTATCTCATAATAATAATTACATAATAATTTAATAGAATAAAACAACTATTTTAAGTTTAAAAAATGGTCTTTTTGTATGTAAGCTTGCAAACATACTGCCAAAAATACTCTCTCCATTAATGGAAATAAATTGTTACAGAAGTAGTAAATAAATCATTCTTTCTCTATTCTTCACTCTTCAGCTAGGCCACTAACGATGGCTTGGTATCAAGGAGAGGTCACAGAGAAGACCCAAAGATAGAGGACTACCGGATTGGGAGACAGCATCAAGAAAGAGGGCATGATAAATAGTAACAAATGATGCAGAGAAGTCAAATAAACTAAACTTAGATGAAAAACTTCACTCAAGTTTCACAACAACCCAATGAAGTTCTCTATCAACACCAATTCAGGAAGGTGGTTCAGAAAAAAGCCAAAATACATTCACTCAATGGGAGATGAAGAAGTAACAATAGATATTCTTTCTAAATGCTTTGCTGTAAAAGAAAGGAGAAAAGATGACAGCTAGAAAGATTCCAAAGTTAAGGGCATGGTTCTTCAAATGGGAAAGACCTGGGTATACTTCATGTGTGAGGAGCCAACATAGGTAAAATACAAGTGGGTAGACGGGAGATTGTATATTCATTCTGGTAAACAGAAATGAAAGCATGGTTATCCAGTGAGGAATGGACTAGGTGATGCAGAGGGGAATAAAAGGCTTATTTATAGGTGGTTAGGAAATAGGAAAGGAAGGAGGCCTATAATAGATTATAGAGCAGCACTGAAGGTCCAGCTAAGAACAGATTCAATGAACTTAGACTGAACGACAGTAGTTTTTTCTTTGATAGAAAATCAAGAGGGCAAGAAGGGTGCTGCAAAGAGAATGGACATGGGCTAAGTCATTTGGTAGCTGATTTTTTGCTTTACCTCTCTGAATCAATAAACTTGACCTTTGGCAAGGTGTGTTTTTTTCCCCTATTCGTTTTAGCATTTTGCTATAAATACAACAGACACAATGACAAATATCTGTTGCATGACTAGAGAACTCTCCTTCCCTTAGACAATGTTCCCTATTTGTTTCAATAAAAATTTATTAATGTTATTAAAACATCTTAATTCACTGTCTGGCTGCTTGGCAGCATCCACAAAGCAACAGATCTGCTCTACAAATAAGGGCTGGTTAATAAATGATTTCCATTTGATACTGCTATTCTATTATTCCATTTCATTATATTCCACTATCTCTCTAAAGTACAAAGATAAAAATCTTTATTCAGCTCTAATCATTATATGTCTGCCTGCCCCCTCCATTTCACTGTGTTTCTAAGACCTTCTGCTGTGTTCCTCTCCTGCCCCGCTCCTTCCATTAATCGCTTTACCTTCACTAATCTGGTAGGCCTCTTCAACTTGCTCTGGTTCTGTTTCAACAGCTTTTTCCAATGGTGGAGTTTTTTCAATTCTAACTCTCTTGGTAGGCATTTTAGCTTAAAAAAAAAAAAGAATTCTAATTTATTGCTACAGTAACAGTATTTAAATCACTTTTAAATCTCAATAACAATTTTAACATCTTTTTTGCAAACAAGATACTACTACAATTTGGGAAGAAGGCTTATTTCTAATATAAAATAAAATAATTCGATTAAAAAACATTCAGCATTAGTCTAAATATTCTCCTTTTATTTTCTGATTTATCTTGTCCCAAACTATATCTTTCTACCTGTTTTCCCCAAGAAGTCTATACATATTTATCTATTTTGTTCCACAAACCTGTGATACCTTCCTAGTATTTTTTTAAAAATATTTTTTCTTTATTGATCTGAGAGAGAGGAAGAGAGAGAGAAACATCGATGAGAACATCGACTGGCCGCCTCCTGCACACCCTGCACTGGGGGATTGGGCCCACAACCTGGGCATGTTTCCCTACAGGGAATCGAACCGGTGACCCCATGGTGCATGGGTCGATGCTCAACCAGTAAGCCACATTGGCCGGGTGTATTTTTTCTTCTTCTTAGTATGGGTAACTCTTTCAAGATTTCCTTATTGGAAATTATTTTGTTCTCCCTCAGGCCTTAAAGTGAGCTGACCTATTATTCTATACCCTCAAAATATTACTTAAAAGTGAAATGGTACCTTCCTGAATTTTTCTAAATCAAAATCTGAGCAAAAACTGAGAAGCAGTCTGGTATCAACACCCTTCTACTTACCAAAAGCTGGTTTTCATTCCAATTCTAATTTGGGCACTCTAGTTTGCTTTTTGGTTTTGTTATCTTTTCTTGAGGCATAACAACTTAGGACAAGACCTACTCTATAACTAGGAGAAATTTCTTAAAGTTGTTCATATTTCTTTGGAAAAGATCATTGGCCATAACTATCAATACAGAGTGAAAGTATTAATAATGCTGCAACACATATTTTTAAAATTTTAAATGTAATACCCTCATAGAACAGAAAAACTACCATTTATAAGGATCTACCTGCTAAGTGCCTTTCAATCATGGTGTTCAGATCTTCTTCTGTAACATTCTCACTTATTGGATCCACTTGTGACGAGGCTTCAAGTTTTGTCTTCCTTGTATCCACAGCTTTCTTCTTCTTATCCCCCCTTTTATCTGTGGGATGATCACTTTTGCTTTGTGCTAACTCGACTTTTAAATCGTCTCCATCTTCCTCTTCTCCAACTTCATCAACAGTAACAAAATTAAGCTCTTCTTTAAGGTTGTTAAAATCTGCCACGGAGTCTTCATCTTCTTCAGTTACTTCGTCCAAAGTCACTAAGTGCAGATCACTGCTGTCATCCTGTATTTCATCAACAGTAACTAAAGTAGAAGGGTCTTCAGGCATCTGAGAAGAAATGAACCCAATGGAATCCCTTCCAGTATTTCCCTCATTTCCTTTAGTATTTAAAGTGGCAAAATTTAAGTCTGCTGACTCATTTAAAGGTAGCTCTTCTACTTCTCCAATTTCATCCACAGTTACCAAGCGTTCCTGTTTGAGAAGATCTTGTTCTTCAGCCACCGACAGTACAGTAACATCTTTAGGTTCACCGTGGGAAATGCAATCATCTTGATCAATTAACTCATCTAATGTAAGAAGTGAATTTGAATTTTTTACCATTTCTTCCATATTTATTTCTTCTTCATCAATTACTTCATCTACAGTGACAAGAGCTTGTGCTAGATGTGCAGCTGCATCTTCCTCTTCCCCAATCTCATCCAATGTTACAAAAGATAATTCTCCCTCAACAACATGAGGGGAAGAAATTTTCCCCTTCTTCTTCTTTAAATTAAGTTCAGAAGAAGGGATATTTTTGAGAGCTTCTTTCCTTTTTCCCTTCAGTGGATTCTGCTTGGCTTGCAAAGGATTCACTTCTTCAATAACCTCATCCACAGTAACAAATTCATCCAGATTAAATGGAAATAATGATTCCTGTTGGAAAGGTTTAAAAAAAAAACCCACAGAATTGTGAACAACTACTAAAAAACTGACTAGGTTTCAAATAGTCCCAGTAAATGTGCATGAAGTATCATTTGTGAGAATTTCAGTGCAGAGAGGTTTCCTAAATGTTGAAATTAGTTCATTTTAAAAGCCCCACAAATTAATTAGCTATAATTCACAAAGTAAACAATGCCAAGGGTAAAAATCCTAGTAATAACAAACTAAATTCACCTTCACTTAATTTCATTAAGACTAAAATTAATTCAATGATGTACAAGTTTTAAAAATGATGCACAAAAATACAACATTCAAAGCATTTATCAAGCACTATAATGTAAAGAATTTCCTGTTCCATATGTTAAATATCTCGATAAAGCTAGAAAGTAGCTACCTAGAATGTTCCATTGACCAATTTATACATAATATATATTTTAAGAAATGTAACACTAGGATACAAAGTTTACATATTGATAAAGTTATATGGCAAATTACTAAGACTTAATGCCAAATATTACTGCACTTGAAAAAAAAATCTGTGATTCCATAAATAATGTCAATACTGAAAAAAATAAATTCCTAGCAGCCTTCCTATAACATTTAGTATCCTATCAATGATCAATTATTAGTACATATAATAATGACATTTGAATATATACTGAGTACTTTTGGGGAGGGGAATCGGTAAGCAATTGTATTATCAATCTATTAAGCCAACAGAACTAACCATATTCCTACTCCTGCTTCTTAAACTAACATTTCCCCTTACCCCAATAAAATAGGACCAAATTCCTCCCCTACCAAGGCAAGGAAAATGACTCTATAAATGGTGGAAACCTGAAATAGCAACAACCAAATACAAAATATAAGATGTATATCTGGTGGTGTATAATTGAGTACCAGAAAAGTAAATCTTAGAACCCATCCATTTATCAAAATGATCACCTTTTGGGAAGTACTGCAAAATGAGGGGATCCAGTCAAAGGCCATTCTTCTTTTCATATATGATATTATTCTGTGTTTATAACCTATTCTTGTCAATATAAAATTGAAAGTATTTTCCTACTCTAATTCTCTTTCTGTCCCTGGGTAACTTTTTGCCCTGCACCAAGAACACAAACTAGCCTAGTTTAAGGTCAAAAACAAATTGGTGGTAGGATCCAAAGAAAATAAAACATCTCATTCCTATCCTGTGCTCTACGTCAATCTAATTATTACAGGAGAGACACAAGTTTTAAGATAGATGAACTCTTCCATGAATGGATAGAACAGAAGGGTTCGTTTTAATAAACTATTTCTCACCTCTTTAGATTTGGAACTTCTACCAGTGGTGCTTTTAGGATTCTTAATGTTTTGCCCAACCATAGTCTGAAATATTAAGTAAAAAATACAGAAAAAAAAGAATTTACAACTAGGTTATTAATGTTCTTTAAAAAGAGAAAGATAATTCAAACAATAAACATTATCCAAACACATTGTTATGCCAATATTTAGCAGGTATACCAAACTAAGTCAACAGTTAATAACAGTATAGGTATAGTCTATAAGTTGTAGTTAAATTCAGTTTTATTGACCTTTCCCAACAATGTCTAAGTTGGACAATTAATAAGCTGATAAATAAAGCTTCAATTTAAAAGAGAAAAACCTCCCACTCAAAAGCAGAGTACTACATCACCTCAGGAGACTCACTGTAGACTTTATTTTTAAACCTCAAAGTTATGTTTCTGACCACATTTTATCCAAATAATGCTTTTTCAAACCTGTTAATAATTATGAACTTGAGTTTATTATTCTAAATGTCTATTGGCTTAGATCAATGGACTTAGAAAGGGAAAAGGGAGCTTGGGAGTGAAGTGAGGACATGAAAGTATAAAACAAGATTACATCTCCTACTCCAAAGCTACAACAGAAGAGCTATTCACTTCAAAAATACACTGATACATTCTTCCTACCCTCCTCACCTTATTGTTGCTGTCATCCCGTTTCATGATGGAAGATCTAGCCTCTGTTTCCTGAGACTGTTTTGTAATATCCCTGTAATCCAGTTTAGAATCCTTCTCTTGCAGGACTGAGATCCTTCCACCGCTTCCTCTGGTAATACTGCTCTGAGTGGATTTGAATTTACTGCTGCTTTCAGCCAACCTGGCACTTGTAGGTTTAAAACCCAATTCCTTGGCTGAAAGTTTCTTTTCAGCATTTATTTGATCTCTGAGTACAGATTTTAGAAAACTTTTCTGGTTTTCAGATTTTGAAGCTGTAGTTTTTGCCTTTGGAGAAGAGCCCATACCAGCCTTGATGCTTGATTTACTGCTAGGTGCATTCGATGCAGCCAGCATACTAGTTTTACTAGTTTCCTCAGGCTTATTGGCCTGACCCACTCCTTTACTTGGGCATGCCTTGATCACAGTGTTTTCTGCAGGCTTTTCTTTCACTGCTACCACAATCTTTTCCAACTTCTCTGCAACCATCCTAGCATCATTCTTTTCAGCCTTCTCTGTTCCTATTTGCAGATCCATTTTGGTTTCCTTAATATTAAATTCATTCTCCTCCTTTTCATCCATGTTATTTTTTTCAGAAATTCCCTTTTTGCTCGTATTCTCATCCCCAGTGGAAATTCCTGGAACTAAGGCCACAACACAAGTAGATGGTACTATTTCTGGAACAGTTTCATGTTTGTCTACTTCAGCTATAGCTTCTATCATAGCCTCTGTAATCCCAGAAAAGAAGTCTTCTGCTTCAGATGGACATTCTTCTAGAATTCCTTGGATGTTTCTTTCTTCTATAAATGCACTGTCAGATGTTGCTAATTCTGTTTCAGAATTAATAATCTCGGCCTCTTCCTTCCCAAAGTCATTGGTATACACCTGCTGATTTAAAACAGACTCCTCTACATTTTCCGTGAATAATTCAATACTGGCTGGAATGGATTCTACAAGAGGAATTTCCACTTTGACCTCCTCTCCTTGAGTCTCAACTTCTAACGTTTCAATAGTAAAGTCAGAGTCACAGAGTGTTTTTTCAGGTTCTTCCTCACAAGACTCTTCCTGTTGTACAGAAGTTTCTGTTTGAATGCTGGGAATAGTTTCTTCTTCAACCTCACTAGGTTTAACAGTGGGACTATCAGCTGCTGTTTGCACCTCACTTTCATCAACTGGGTTGTTTTTCAAGTCAGGGCTAAAAGTATTTAAAAACAAACAAAAAAGAACACAAACAACACAAACAAAAATCAAACTATGATGAGAATTCAACCATCATAAATAATTCTGTTGATGCCAATTGTTAAGACTTCCTGATGCATTAAATAAGCATTGGGAAATCCAGCCAATCAGCATTAAAATGGTTAAGATGTTTTGATGTAAATATGTCAACAATATAAAAATTTTAAAGAGATCCTCCACTGCATTGGAGAGTTCCTTGTAGTTCAAAGGAAATGGCAAAATTATACTCATTGACAGGATTCTTGTACTCGTGTAAGTTATAACCAATTTTTTTTTCCTTCTGTGTCAAATTTGCATCTGACATTGAAAGGCTGAATGTAAACATCTCAAATTATTATTAAAGTCCTCTTTCCAATAGTGGCAACTGAAATAATAAAATATTTATATGTATAGATCTATAAAAAAATAATCCACATATTGAAATTTGAAAAATTGTAAGTGAACCTTACCTAAAACGAACATAAACAGTACTGGTAGGGAGAAAAGGCCATATTCTTAAACCTCTTTCACTGTTTTAAATGAGACAGATTTGCTTTTAATTTCCCAAGAACTGTATTATTACTAATACTTAAAACATTCTTTAGAAGTATCTTTTAAATACTCTGCTGGAGATTTAAACTTAGAGGTGAAACTGATAGAATCACCCTAACATAAATATGTAGACTTATTATAAAATACATGCCTTTGGTTATATTATGAGAAAGAATATGAGAAAGAAAGCTTTCCAGTTACAGAGAATAATTTAAAATTCTAATAGATTACTTAAAAATGTAAGTAAAATTATTCAGAAGAAATGGAGGAAATACAAGGCAAGTATACATAGTTGATCTTATTTCACTGTGGTCTCCCCAAATCCAAAGTAAACAAAAGTGTGATTCTGTAAATTCAACTACTTTCACTGAGGCAGAGACAGAATAAACTATATTATTATTCCAAAGATCAGATGTAATCTTCAAGAGTAACAAGGAAAATTCAAGCTTACAAAGACACTGTCCAGCATATTATCAACACAAACTGAAGTTCAACAAATATATTCACTTGATTACATCAGAAGCAGCAGGTTGGAGGAAGACACCAGACAGAAGGTGATCATGCCACATCAATACCACATAGTATAAATTTTTTCCCTACTTAAAAAAGAGGTGATGAGACAACCCCTATGATATGCTTTTCAATGGATGGCCATATATCCTTTATTTAATACAAGATAATGTGTATCTGTGTCCTGACATGTTAATAATATTTTAGAAGTTTGGAAAAAGTGCTACCATTTGAGGTGAGGGTCCAATAATTTCAGCCAATAAACTAGTCCTCCCCCTAAAGTTGGTAAGTTTAAACTCCCAAAGGAGAAAACTTTTATAAGAGATCAGAAACACACCTCTTGATGAAAAATGTAAAGGCAGCCCTATAGCTGTGGCTCAGTGGATTGAGAGTCATCCCATGGACTGAGAGGTCCAGGTCCGACTCCCAGTCAGGGCACATGCCTGAGTTGTGGGCTTGATCCTCACTAGGGGGCTTGCAGGAGGCAGCCAGTTCATGTTTCTCTCTCACATCAATGTTTCTACTTCTCTCTCCCTTCCTCTCTTAAAAAAAACAAAAAAAACCAACAACAACAACAACAAAAAAACAATCAATAAAAACAATTTTTTTAAATGTAAAGGCAAAGAGGTTGAGGAATTTAAATTCAACAGCCAGTAACTACAGACTTTATTAAATATATATTCTATTCATTTATATAAGTATATAAGCTACCTTTTGCAAGCTGAAGGGTTAAAGTTATTTGAAATAATTCACATCCCTTATTTTAAAAAACTACGAATGGCTGATTTTAAGTGTTCCAAATTCTTAGGACTAGTCAAAATATAACTTGTGGCTAAGTACAAGTAGGACAAAGACAAGAAAAAGTTATGACATTCAGTTACAGCAGTTACGTAATTATTTCTCAAAATATAAACTTTTGTTTTTAAATTACAAGACTCATTTTAAATGTTAAAGATTAAATTCAGATTCCTGCATCATTACAGAACTGCACATTAACCCTAAACCCTTTACAAATTAAGGCTATTACAAAAATACCATCAACTGGTCTAGAAGTATAGCAATAGAGATTTTTACTCCTGGCTCTACAATAAAAAGCAAGTCCTTCCCCTTTACCACATTTAAAGTTTGTCAATAATAAAATTTTTTAAAACAGAAGCTAGTATCTTTTCAACAAAACAAATCACTATGCAGCAGTTCTACATTTCAAGCAGAGAGCACACACCTACTTGGAAAATGGCTCAATTCCATATTTGTTCTTGTGTGTTTTTTTTAATTACACTGCTCTCTTCATAGAATTCATTTACCAAAAAGTAATACCTAGTTTTCTGGCTAATATGGGGAAAAGGCTCAGTGTTTATCAAATTAGCTTGGCAAGTCTGTTTGAAATGCCAAATAAATGTAATTATTAACATTAGAGTCAAACAACCAGTCTTTCAAAAGATCAGAGGAAAACACAATCATATTCTGGGAATTGGCACAAAAATGATTCCAGGAAGGCATTCAGGATACAGGTAACTGCCCATCCCCATGCCCCTAATACCAGTTTCAAAATCTTCAGAAAAGGTATACAATAAAATCTAGGCATGAGAACAAATGTTAACACTATACCATACACTTTACGAAAAACCTTAGACTGAGACTTAACAACACTGAAGATTAGTATTTATTTCAGAGGGCTACTGGATACTTCCCAACATTATTAATGAACTGGTGAAAATTCTATCTTGTGTCCCTATTTGAAGCCTTAATCACATGATGAATAATGTTTACAGGGGTAGGGGGGTGACACGGGCAAAATGTAGAAGTATTATTAAATTATTAATACATCCATGTGAAATTTTCTTTCAGTAGGAAACATATTTAAATACTCCAACTATAAACAAACAAAAGCAAAAAAGCACCAGTATTTTCTCAGGATCAGTTTACTCCAATAAACAAATGTGAAGTATCTGGGCTGAACACCACATCTTTTTTTTCTAATGTCATATATATAAGTTAGAAAAAAACAGTGCAAAGTGAGAATTAAAAAGTTATTAGTGCTAGAATTTTAAAATATTTTAAGATTAAACAACTATCTCTAAATTCATTAAGAAATATATTTGATTTTAAAAGTCAAAACAATAGAGGGTGAAAAAAATAACCCAAACACAGAGGATACCTATTCTTGCAGGCCTCAAAGAATATCTGTCATCTGAAACATATAAAACAGATTTTTCTTCTTCTATTTTTTTATCCTCACCCAAGGACATATTTTCGTGTTTTTTTGTTGTTGTTGTTGTTCAGATAGAGTGGGAGGGTGAGAGAGAGAGAGAGAAACATTGACGTGAAAGGGACACATCGAGTGGTTGCCACCCGCACGACCCATCCAGGGCCGGGGACAAACTGCAACCGAGGTCCACGCCCTTAGCAGGAACCGAACCCGAGTCTCTCTGGACTGCAGGTGGACACTCTAACCGCTGAGCCAAACCGGCCAGGGCTAAAACAGATTTTTTCAAAGAGCCTACTTACTTACCAGCCAGAGATACTGTGGCCAAACTATATGTCTGTCTATATATTACTACATGTGGTATTGCTACGTATTAGGCCCTTCATGGGCTTTTACATCAAACACTGCTTTTGGTATTACTTCTTGGGCGAATGAATATAATTGGTATGATGATGTACAACTTAAAAAAGTGGTGCTGACACATACATCAAATCTATTGCTTAAAGTTACAACATATTTTAATGTACTGATAACCATCTTTATCATTTAAAACTCTCATTTTATAAAAATTACAGAGAATAAAAATCAGTAAGACATCCTGTTTTCCTGTTTTCAGGCCTCTTAAAATTAGTGCATCAAATAAAATAAACTCTCGACATTTTAAACATTTTCAAAATGCTCTTTCATACTTAAAAGCTCTTACTACATGAATTGTAACAAATAAGGGTAAATTACTTATTATATAAGGGAGGGAAAGAAGTTTAAATCTGTAAAACCCAATGAAGAGAAGTAAAAGGCAGGTTATTCATCTGGGGCAAAAGTGGTGATAAGAGTGGATTCATCAGGATGAGAAAGTGACTGAAAAGACAATGTGGTCAAAACAAAGCTGTGAGTCACTACTTTTTGTAGGTTCTGAAGAACAATCTTTCATCCTCTGAAAACATAAAGCGGCGTACATATTACTTTGTTTTATAGATATCCCTTCTCCCTCACAATTGTTTTTAAAAAGTATCAAAATATACATGGAATATTACCTTTTTGGGTTTTTTTTAAAGATTATGCAAACAGATCAGTTTTACTATTGATAACTATTTTGGAAAAGAAAATCCAACTAGAATATAACACTCATCAGAGTAGAGTTATTCAAGCTTCTTAGTAAAACATTTCATGAAGAAGTCATATTTATATATTTAATTCAAACTGTGCTTATACAGTTTTTTTTGCAAAAAAATAAAATAAAATCAGTAGATACTGACACAAAAACAGAAACAAAAACAAAAACCACCCCTTGATCAAACAAATCCAAAAGAAAACTCATATATATACAAAATGAACTTGTTAAATATGAATTTTTTGCTACATGTGAACAATTACTACAAAATACAGAAATGAAATGCAGTAATTAACTAAATACCATAAGAAAATGTTAGCAAACTTAAAGCAACATACCTTTCTTTTCTTAGTTCTTGGTCTTCTTTCTCAGCTTGAGCCTGTAACATAATTCCACATTGTATTAGAGGCTATTCTACTGAACTTTAAATATTTAACCCATCATTGCAATGATTTCAGTTCTTAAAATCTAAGCTAAAGCAAACAAACTACATCTTGCCCGGCCGGTGTGGTTCAGTGGTGGAGCATTGACCCATTCACCAAGAGGTCGCCGGTTTGATTTCCGGTCAGGGCACATGCCCAGGTTGTTGGCCTGATCCCCAGTGGAGGACATGCAGGAGGTGGCCAATCAATGCTTTCTCTCATTGATGTTTCTACCTCTCTCTCCCTTTCCTCTCTCTAAAATCAATAAAGAACAAGAAAATTAAAACAATAACAACAAAAAACTACATCTTAGAAACATATTTCAAGTTAATTTTCAGTGTCCACATAACTATCAGGTTCTAGAATTTTTTTCTCATTAGATAAAATTAGGTTATAGAGAAAAACTACCACACAGTAATTAATGAGAAAAATAAGTTTCCTTAATGTTGACATAAATGGGAAATAAAAATTTAACTTTAAAAGCCTGGAAATACCACCTTTTGCTAAGAATAAAAACAATCAACCTGAAATATCAATATCTTCATCGTGCAATTATTACTTTAAAAAAAACGTCTACTTGTAAGTGAAACTAGTTGATTTAAAAAGCTTTCTACTCAAAACACCTAGAAAAGCTGAACAAAATTTAACAATAATCCTTTTAGACTCATGTCTGAACCACCAAGAAAGCAATGCTTTGGGGCTCAAAATGGAAGCAGGAATTAAAATTCAGTGTCTATGTACCTGGTCCAGGCACTCAGGACACAGCAGTGAGTGAAAAGCAAAAATATGTGCCCTCTATTTTTATTTCCTTTTAATTCATTGAATGTATTGGGGTGACACTGGTTAACAAAATTACACAAATATCAAGTGTACAATTCTACAACACATCATCTGTACACTGTACTGTGTGTTCACCACTCCAAGTTTCCGTCTGTCACCACTTATTCCCCCCATATCCTCCTCCACCTCCACGTGACAATCTCCACGATATTGTCTGTGTCAATGAGCTTTCTCTCTTTTTAAATTTATTTTTTTAATCCTCATCTGAGGATATTTTTCTATTGCTTTTTAGATAAAGAGTGGAAGGGAGGGAGGGGGGGAGAGAGATAAACATCAATGTGAGAGAGACATATTGATTAGTTGCCTCCCGCACAACCCTCACTGGGGCCAGGGAATCAAATCTGCAACCCGCAACCCAGGTATGTACCCCTTGACTGGGAATCAAACCCGTGACCCTTCTGTCCATGGGCTGACACTCTAACCGCTGAGCCAAACCGGCCAGGGCACTTTCTCTCTATTTTTGCTCAATCTCTCCACCTCCCCCTCCCCTCCCAGCTGTCAGCCTGCTCTCTATAAATTAAAAACAGAGAATTGTACTTTAAAAAAAGAATTGAATAATGTGCCCAGAAGGAATTCCTGGCGTGGGCGTTGATGTCCCACAGAAAAGGCCTTCTTTACTGGGGTATCTGGTGGGGTATCCAGTCTATATGGTAATGACTTATTACTGAAATTAAAGATGGCAGTTGATAAACTCGATCCACAGTGTTTCCAAGCAATCTTCTCACTCATGGAGAAGCCATTAAGAGAAAAAAAGAAATAAACAATGCTATATGATAGTAAAGGAAATCTATACCAGATACCTTTATTAGCTAATTTGCTTTTTTCATATGAATAACAGAGGAAAAAAAAAACAAATGTACAAAAGTAAACAAGTATACAAAAATGGCTGAAAGTATTGCAAAGAACTAAAGAGCTTAAAAATTACCTCTAAAGAATATAGCGTCCACAAAATTGGTACGGTGTCATTTCCAGAAAGAGAGAACATTAAAGTTGAAGAGAAAAATAATCAAAGAAATAGTAAGAGGAAAACATTCCTCAGGTGCAGAATCACACTAATTTTTATAAATCCTTTCAGTGCTCTAAGCAGGATATAGAAAATAAGTTCCAAATCAAGATAATGCCTTGCTCACTGCACTAGCCTTATGATCCTCCTTGAAGATTCTCAAATCACCAAATGTCTTCAAGGACTTCACTCTTCTAAAAACCTCTTCCTCCTTGATATATTCATAGAATTATTACTGTCTTATTATATTCATATCTCTCAAATAACTCTATCTCAGAGGGTCATTCCCATCGACCACTCTCTATATCCTTTTATTTTGATTTGTCTTTACTGCACTTTTTACTACTTGACATTATAAATATTTCTTATCTATTTATAGTCTACCTCCTCCACTAAATAAACTCCTTGAAGACTAGGACATTGACTGCTCAGTTCCATCAATGTATTCCAATGTCTAAAGCAGGGCTGGCATAGAAAAGAAATGAGATAAATATTTTTTTAATAAATAAAAGCTAAGCCCCGGCCAGTTTTGCTCAGTGGTTAGAGCATCGTCCTGCGAACCAGAGAGTCTCGAGTTCGATTCCCGCTAAGAGCATGTACTTCGGTTGCAGTTTGTCCCCGGCCCCAGTTGGGGTTGTGCGGGTGGCAACCAATCGATGTGTCTCTCTCACATTGATGTTTCTCTCTCTTCCTCCCTCTCTACCTTCCACTCTATCTGAAGATAAATGCGGGGGGGTGGGGGGGAGGAGATGGCCTCGGGTGAGGATTAAATAAACAAACAAACAAACAAACACTAAAAGCTTTCAGAGAGAAAAAATAGAATATATAAAGGTATGATTCGAATCACCCTTTTCAACAATACTGGTTAGGAAAAACAATAAAAGAAAATACAATCTGAGCACTGAATTCTCTACCTAGGCAAACTATCATTGAAATATGTAAAGGCAAAATAAAGTCAGTTTCAAATATGCAGAGATTTATATTTTAAAGTTTACTGCCCACACACACTTTCTGCGGAAAATTATCTGACAATGCACTCCAGCCAAAAGAAAAGTAATCCAAGAGCGTGGGAGATACAGAACCTAAGAAATAACAAAAATAATTCAGAATAAAAAAATTTAAAAAATCAAAGATATAAGGTTGCTTTACAAAAAAAAAAAGGCAATAAATTTAGTACAGGGAGTAAGAAGAACAGCTCTAAGAAGATAATAGATTCTATTTAATAGTAAGTTATATGACCTGAATAATAATACAGTCTTCTTTTTCCAACAACAAAAAACAATTTCTAAACCGTACAGAAAAGCCATTTAATATAAATAACGAAGAAAACAAAAACATAACATCATTTTGAGAAATGATTGAGAATATAAGAGAATCACCTCCAGGTGTACTAGTTATAGACATACTCCTTACTAGCAAATTCTGCAATAAGTATCTTCATAATCAAAAAATGTAGACACTGGTTTTCAGTGCTTAAAATTAAGCCTTCTTGCTTCAGATACAGGAAACTATAACTTCAGAACTAAAGACTGAAACATATTACATGTAGAAGTAACTTAACAGATAACAAAAATGGGGAGGACCATTTGAAGAGCATGTAATATAAAAATGTTAGAATTCATTATAAATATGGTAAATTAAAAACTCTGGGAACAGGATTCACTTCGATTTTATAGTCTATTCTCTAGCTTAGGCTTTCACTCTTATATAGACCATTACAATACTTCAAAATTAGTCTGTTTCTATTATCCAATAAATCTTTCATCGAATGTATGTAACAGACACTATGTGACATGCTCAAGATCACAAGGCTAGTTTATCAGTGGTGTAGCTAAGACTTTTACAATAAGCCAAATGAGATCTCCAATCTACTAAGTCATAAGAATAAGGTTCTGAGAAAGGGTTTGGGAAGTATAAATTCAGGCAGAGGTTTAATGTAATTTTCACTTGTTTAATTTTAACTCTAAGAATTTTGGACTGTATTTCTGGAAGAAAAATTTCTGTATAGTCACTGTTTATTATAATTCTGAACTTAGTTGAACAAAGCAATAACTTAAAAAGTATAAAAAACAAAATCTTAACAACAAAATCTTAAAATGTTCTACTGAGAAAAGACTAAAAACCTTTAAATTTTTCCCTAAAATTATCAGGTTAAACAACTCCCTCAATTTGTGCTTATAGGTGCTCCATTTAATTTGGTTTTAATGTGAATTTTAATTTTCTTGAGCTAGTGCAAGATTTTTTACATAACAAACAAAAAACATGCAATCGCCAAATATAAGCCCTATACTGTTTACCTGCTGCTACTGATATACAATGAAATTATTTGAAAGAGTAAACATGAGTTTGAATTTCATAGCTTTCATACATGTATTATTATTGTATAAGCCCAGAACCTAATTTCTTCTACAAGAAGAGTTTATAATAAATATAATTTAAACAAATAAAATAAACAAATGTTTTGCCTTGGCCAGTTTGGCTCAGAAGTTAGAGCATTGGCCTGCAGACCAGAGTCACGGGTTCAGTTCCCTCTAAGGGCACATACTTTGGTTGCAGTTTGTTCCTGACCCTGGTTGGGGTTGTATGGGTGGCAACCACTCGATGTGTCTCTCTCACATCGATGTTTCCCTCTCATATTGATGCTTCTTTCTCTCTCTTTCCCGCTTCGCTCCAGCTCTATCTGGAGATAAATGCAAAAATGTCCTCGGGTGAAGAGTAATAAAAAACAAAAAACAAACAAAAACAAACCTCTTTATAATAGTACAAAGCCAAATGAAGTCAAAGTAGTCTCTGCATTCTGGAGGTAATCATATTATATACATGGGATCACTCTACACATATGTCCAAAGTAAGTTTTATGCTACATTTTTCAAAATTACCTCAATTTATTCTCAAATTTATATTGCGCCATAAAACATAAAAATTGGAACAGTGATTGCAAAACAAATTTTTAAATGAAAGAATCTAAACTCAGAACCAGTTTGATTACTGCCCAAGAATAATTCTTAAAATTACCTTCAGTGTATATCATCTAGCTTTGGAAGAATGATCTTTATGCTTTCTTCATTTTCTAAAAGCACAAAGTTGACACAAAGAAATCTTACCTCTAATGAGTCCACCTTTGGAGATAATGTACAGGTCAATACATGGTCACCTATGTTCTGTGGATTTTGTTTCAGAAAGCTGTACATTGACTGAGCAGATTCAGGACTATCTAACTGAAGAATTGCCTTTGGAGAAGATAAAAAAAAAAAGCATAAATAGTTCCTTAAAAACATAAAAAACAGAATTACCATATTATCCAGCAATTTCACTATTTGGTATATATCCAAAAGGATTGAAAGCAGCGACTTGGAACAGATATTTGTACATCCATGTTCATATCAACTTTATTTACAATAGCCAAAAGGTGACAGCAACCCAAGTGTCTGTTCACAAAGTGTGGTTTATACATACAATGGAATATTATTCAGACTCAAAGAGGAAATTCTGATATATGCTACCATTAATGCTGGAAGACATTACACTAACTGAAATAAGCTGAACAAAAGGACAAATACTGGATGATTCCACTTATATGAGGTACCTAGAGTAGTCAAATTCATAGAGACAGAAAGCAGAAAGGTTGGCAGGGGCTAGGAAGAAGAATGGGGAGTTATTGTTTAATGGAAAGATGGATAGTGGTGATAACTGCACAACAATGTGAATATACTTAATGTCACTGAACTGACACTTACCCACAGTTAGGTGGAAAATTGTATTATGTATATTTTACAATAAAAAGAAATATTTTTAATATTTAAAGTATGAATATATATTTTTCAGACTTCAAAGGTGATTAAAAGATAAGGTTATTTCAGCATAAACAAGAGAGCCCAGCTGGTGTGGCTCAATGATTGAGCGCCGACCCAAATATCAAGAGGTCGCCGCTTTGATACCTGGTCAGGGCACATGCCCATGTGGTGAGCCAAATCCCCAGTAGGGTGTATGCAGGAGGCAGCCAATCGATGTTCCCTCTCATCAATGTTTCTCTCTCTCTCCTTTCTCTATCTAATATCAATAAAGAAAAAAAAAAGAGAAAGCAATCCTTAAAATGTTGCCAAATCAAGACAAAATTGAAAAGGATGGTGGGGACATGGCTGGTGTGGCTCAGGTGGTTGGAGCGTTATCCCATACGCCAATAGGTAGTGGATTTGATTCCTACTCAGGACACATACGCAGGATGCACGTTCGATCCTCAATCTGGGTGCGTGTGGGAGGCAACAGATGGATGTTTCTCTCTCACATAGATGTTTTTCTCTCTCTTTCTTCATTACTGTCTAAAATCAATAACATTGATAATAATAAAAAGGATGGTATATTTAAAGAGAATAAAAGATGTCTAAAGGTGTAGAATTCCTTATGCCACCTGTCATCTCTTTTCCATCCTGTATCACTATTTCTAAAATACCAAAAATGTTCTATGTATCAGAAGCATGTCAAAGAAATTAATAACTAGCTGTTGATCAATTAAGTATTTTTTATAAAGTAAATATTTCCAACTTTTATACGAAACCCTAACTTTCTAGGTAATATAAGGTTAACGAAAATCTCCTTTTAATGGACGTATATCTAAATTAAATATAAACACAGAGGGCATAGCAAATATAAAGTCAGTAATTTCTTTTAAGAAAGTAAGTCAAAGCACAGAAGTAAAGAATGATCATTTTATACTTCTTTCCATATCACTAAACAAAGAGACCTAACTCTCTATGTGTTTTGTTGCTTTAGAAAAATACCTAGTAACACCTTTTCCTTTTACATTTAAGAAGTAAAAGTGTAAACCAACTTAGCCAAGGTACAAAGAAAGTTAAAGCTAGATGAGTCTAAGTCTAAAACTTCCCCATAAGATAATATTGTTTGCACTATATTACCTTTCTGCATTGTGCAAGTTTTATTTCTCCTTAAAACTAGGAAGTTCTAGTTTTGGCGAGGGTGTGAAGAAAAGGGGACTCTAGTACACTGCTGGTGGGAATGAAGACTGGTGCAGCCACTATGGAAAACACTATGGTGTTACCTCAAAAAACTTAAAAATTGAATTGCCATTTGACCCAGTGATCCCACTTCTAAGAATATACCCTAAGAAGCCTGAAACACCAATCAGAAAGAATATATGTACCCCCCATGTCCATAGCAGCACTATTTACAATAGCTAAGATCTGGAAACAGCCCAAGTATCCATCAGTAGACAAATGGATAAAAAAGCTATGGTACATACACACAATGGAGTACTATACAGCTGTAAGAAAGAAAGATCTCTTAACCTTTGAGACGACATGGAGGGACCTGGAAAATATTATCCTAAGCGAAACAAGCAAAGCAGAAAAAGACAAATACCACATGATCTCATTTACTTGTGGAATATAATGAACACAACAGTCTGAGAAACAGAGTAAACCCAGAGACGTGGAAAGTAGGGTACAGACTGACAACCCTCAGAAGAGAGGGTGGTGGGGGGAGAGAAGAGATAAACCACAGAACTTACATGCATGTACGCATAACCAATGGACACAGACAACAAAACTGGGGACGGGGTGGGGGGATGAGGAGGAGGGTGGGTGTCAACGGGGAAAAAAAGGAGAAACATTTGTAACAAAAATAAAATAATGACAATAGAAAAATTTTTTAAAAATAAATAAAAAGTAAAATAAATAAAATAAAATAAAACAGTCCTGATTGAATTTAATGCCTGGCCTCTGCCTCTGTGTGGGCTTTGTCCTAACCTTTCCCATGTGTAAAATAGAAATATTCATAAGGTTCTTTGAAGTTTTAAAAATTATTTAATGTATGTAAACAGCCTACACCACTACATAAAGCTGTTGTGATATAAATAAATAAATAAATAAATAAATAAATAACTAGGAAGTTCTAGGAGAAAGATCATCTCTTCCTTCTTGCCACAGCCCAAAGAAAATACACTGGTCTATCATAATTCTGCTTAGAGGTTGAATAGTGCTTATAGGTGCTTCAGTTCAGAAGCAGACCAAAAGAACACAGGATACAGTTTTATATTTTCTATAGAACACAGAGTCAAAATAGGAGAGACTTGGTTACCTTGTTTTTATTACTCAAGAATATATGATGATCCACTTTTCCAAACTGAAGTCCTATACAAAGTATACACTGAAGTCCATCTTCAGGCAAGTTATCAAGATGTACAAATTGATTGTATATTTTATCTATATTTGCCTGTATTTTCATTTTAAAGAGACAGCATAGAAAAGGAGAAATCAACTGAAGTATCAAATGTAAAACACAGATTAATAGTAGTTTAATTTTAAAATTAGTACTAAGGTTTCTTTTAATTTTTAGCAGGTGGATACAAACAACCAATGTTCTATCAATTAAGCAAGTCTAGGAAAGCAGTTAATGCAAAACTCACCTCTGGATCATTTTCTTTAATCAAGGCTATAAATGTAGCTTCCTAGAAAAGCAAAGTGCAACAAGGTTAAAGGTGTAAGCTATTCCTCATTCACATGTTTAATTAGTCAAGATTTATAATAAAATAACATTTATAAATAATCAATAAGCACTGTTTCATAAAATGAAGAGTCAGCAATTATTACCTACAAATCTTTCCTTCTTCCTAAACAAATTATGCAAGTCCCACCCTACCCATAAACCTAATTTATCCTATTCCCCTAGGTACATTAAAGATCAATAAAGTGGTACCAGTTAGGGGAGGACACTCAAATGCATATACAAGGAATAAGAGATTTAATTTAGCAAATACTAAGAGGATTCAAATTATAAAAAACAAGTTAACTAAGCTAAGTAGGGGATGAGGAAGAACAAAGATGTAGGCTAGTAAAAAAAAAAAAAAATAAAAGGCAAGGTATTAAATGTTTATCTACTGGGTGCTGCTGAATTATAAAGAGGTCAAGAGTGGCACGAGACAAGAATGTCAAAGCAAATGGAAGGCTTACATGTACAGGAAATGAACTTTTACTTATGAGACTATGGTTCTTAATTTTTAAAATTCTCTTCAATACTACTGACATGTATAAAATAATCCCAGCAATTGCATCACATTAAGTGATTCTCAATAGAAGGCTTTTTCAAATTACATGCATTTCTACCTTACTCTAGAGATTCTAACATCTCTGCCTCCTGCATTTTAGCAGTTAGTTGATAATAAGCCACACAAAAACAACAAAGTTTCCAAATCAGTTAAATAGACCTGAACAGATTTCAATCGTATGTTGGTCTCATGACTCTGTGGAAAAGGTTTTCAGGGAGACAAAAATGAAGGTAGAGCCCTGGCCAGTGTGGCTCCCATGTACTGAGTGTTGTCCCATGTATGGTAGGGTGGCGGTTCTGATCCCTAGTCAGGGTGCATACAGGAAGCAACCAATCGATGTTTCGATGTTTCTCTCTCTTCCTCTCCCTTTCTCTCTCTAAAATCGATGAAAAATATATCCTCGGAGGTTTTAAGAGGTGAAGCAATGGTGAATCAGATAAGCAGAGAACAAAGTCCAGAAATATTTAGGATTCAAAAAGAGATAAGACCCAGTAACAAACTTAAGAAATAAGAGAAAAAAACTGAAGATAACCTCTGAGATTCTAGATTGTATGACAGATAATGGCAGAGAAATAAGGGTACAGACAGTATTCTACAGACAATAGTTAACATTTTCCCCAACCGAACATACACAAAGAATAGGATTCTCTTAAAATGTAGTTAATACAGTGGGATGGCCAAGGCTGTGGAGGGAGAGAAAGAAGCTTCTCGCCGTCTGAGAGAAAAAGTGCACCAAAAAAGAAAACTAGAAAATATAACAGACTATAATAAATCTAATAAAAATTTTAATTAAAATGATGGTATTATTTACCTCATCTTTTACACTCATGTTTTCAGGAGCCATACTTATTGAGAGTTGATTTCCATCCACTGATATTGGGAAACAGGTATAAAATTTTACCAAAGACTCTGCAGATTTCCTATTTATTTCTATAATTGCCTTTTAAAACAGAAATTACAAAAATGAAAATAAGTGTCTTATTTAAGTTACTTTTTCGTGAAAAGATTTAATACTTAGGAGTCAAATAAATTGAATAAATTAGTAAATATTTTAAGATAAAAAATGCATTCCTCAGAAACATGAGGCCAATAAATTCAGAATAATACAACCATAAGCAAGAAATAATGAATAACTGAACTCATAAACAAATACTAAAGAAAAAAACAGGAGAGGACATTCTAGTAAATGACATTAAGGATAATCTTATCACTGTATACCTAATACCTAGAACAGTGTCTTGATAGCATATAGCAGACATTCAGTGAAAATTTGCTAATACATTTAATGGTCAATAAAATAGGAGAAGTATGAGAAATGACAAAACCAAAGAAATATGTAATGATCAACAAGTTGTTTTTAATTTTGCTATTTTCATAGGTATAAAATTGTAGCTTCATACATTTGGGTTTTAATTTTCATACCTGGGTATGCAAAGAGGTTAGTTAATTAGGTGAAAATCTAAGGGTCAAGGGTTTTGTTCTCAGTCCAGAGCACATACCTGGTGCAGGTTCGATGCCCGGCCTGGTCCAGGCTCATGTAGGAGGCAACCAATCAATGTGTATCTCTCATATCAATGTTTCTGTCTCCCTCCCTTCCTCCCTCCGTCTGCCTTCCTCTCTCTCTAAAAAATCAATGGAAAAATACCCTCCCTTGGGTGAGGATTAACAATAAAAATTATTACACTTTGTCATTTGTCTATTGAAAATGTAAATGTCTTAACTATTTTATAGCATGATATGGATGAGTCCTTTTGCACATTACAAATATTTATTTCCATTTTGCTTTTATTATGTTACTTTTACAAATGTTTAAAATGTTTATATAATTGAATCTGATGCTTTTCCAAATATCTAAAAAAGTATAACATTTCCAAAAAGTTAATACTCCTGCCCAACTCTAATCAAAATTGGACAGATAATAATCCAGATTTCCCATATTTTTATTTTATACTTACCTATCTACTCATACATATATTTTAGTATATAATGTAAAGTATGAATTTGAATACTTGTTCCCAGATTCTCACGATTTTCTATTTCAATGCATTGTCATAGAAAAAGTTTTATATAAAAAAATGCATTCTTTTATACTTGTCTCTCTCTAAACATTACAAATAACATTTTTAACAGCTGTACTGAAATATAATATTCATATCAAAAAGTTCATCTATTAAGTATACAATTCAATGGGTTTCAGTATGTTTACAAATAGTCTACTTTTAATGTGAATTGCATATGATTCACTTGTACTAATCTTCCTCTCCTATCCTGTTTTCTTTTTTTTAATTCATCTTTATTGTTGAATGTATTACAGACGTTCCTCATTTTTCCCCTACTGACCCCCTCATGCCTTTCCCCATATTGTTGTCTGTGTCCATTGGTTATGTATACATATATGTAAGTTCTTTGGTTTATCTCCTGCCACCTCCACACCCCCTTCCCTTTGAGGTTTGTCAGTCTAACAACTAATTTGTACTTCTTAATCCCTTTACCTTTTTCACCCATTCCCCCAACCCCCTCTCATTTGGCAACCAACATAATGTTCTCTGTATCTATGTGAATGCTTCTATTCTGCCTGTTCATTTTGCTTGTAGATTCAATTGTCGATAGATATGTATTTATTACCATTTTGATTGTTCATATTTTTTATCTTTTCCTTCAAGAAGACCCTTCAACATTTCATATAATAATGGTTTGGTGGTGATGAACTCCTTTAGCTTTTCCTTGTCTAGGAAACTCTTTATATGGCCATCGATTCTAAATGACAGCTTTGCAGGATAGAGTAATCTTGGTTGTAGGTTCTTGCTTTTCATCACTCTGAATATTTCTTGCCACTCCCTTCTGGCCTGCAAAGTTTCTTTTGTGAAATCAGCTGACAGCCTTATGGGAACTCCCTTGTAGGTAACTGCTTTTCTCTTGCTGCTTTTAAGATTCTCTCTTTGTCTTGAACCTTTTGCATTTTGATGATGATGTGTATTGGTGTGGGCCTCTTGGGCCCAAGAGGTTCCTCTTGTTTGGGACTCTCTGCGTTTCCTGGACTTGTATGTCTGTTTCCTTCACCAAGTTAGGGAAGTTTTCTGCCATTATTATTTCAAACAGGTTTCAATTTCTTGTTCTCTCTCTTCTCCTTCTGGCACCCCCAAGGTGCAAATGTTGTTACTCTTGAAGTTGTCCCAGAGGCTGCTTATTACACTATCATTTTTCTGGATTCTTTTTTCTTTTTGCTGTTCTGATTGGGTATTTTTTGCTTCCTTATAGTCCAAATCGATGGTTTGCTTCTTGGCTTTACCTGCTCTACTATTGAAATCTGTGTAAATTATTCTTTATCTGACTGTGCATCCTTCATTTCTGACTGCTCCTTTTATATGCTCTTGAGGCCCTCACTAAGTTCACTGACATTCTCACTAAGTTCACTGAGCATCCTTATAAAGCAGTGTTTTGAACTGTGCATCTGTTAGGTTGCTTATCTCCATTTCCCTTAGTTCTTTTACTGGAGTTTTGTTCTGTTCTTTCATTCGGAACCTATTGTCTCTTCATTTGGACTGCTTCTCTGTGTTTGTTTCTATGTATTACTTACAAGAGGTAGGTAAAGCCACTGGAAACAGCTTGGGTGGGCCTGAAAGTTGGGTGGGGCGGGGCCTCAGGGAATCACCAGGGTAGAGCAGTCTGAGCCAGGTTGCTGGAGTCTCAGATATGGCGGCTGTCTGCCGCCCCAGGAAAGGCCTCATCAAAGGAACAAAGGCCTCTGACAGGACATCTGTCCAGGAGAAAGCTGCCTCTCCAGCCCTTGCCCCAATGCCAAACAACTCAGTTCTTCTCCATATGTCTCTGGTGCCTTTCAAGCTGCCTCCCCAATGCTGGAGCACAGAAGGAGTGAGCCCGAGTAAGTCTGTGAGTGGGCCCTTTAAGAGGAGCTGCCTGGGGTTCCAGCTGCCTCACCCTCCCTCAGCCTCAGTTCCCACTGGTTTTTCCAGCCAGAAATCATGGGGACTTCTCTTTCTGGCACTGGAACCCTGAGCGGGGTGCCTGGTGTGAGACAGGGGCCACTCAGTCCTCAGGGAGGACCTTCCCAGCAAAGGTATCCTTCTAATTTTTTTCCGCCGCATGTGAGTATGGGACCAGCCTGTCCACCTCCGCCCTCCTACCAGTCTCGATGTGGCTGCTTCTTTAATTCCGTAGTTGTAGGACTTCCAGTTAGCTTGACTTCAGGCAGTTTTGAATGATGGTTGTTTTGTAGTTTAGCTGTAACTTCGATGTGGTTGTGGGAGAACACAATACTGCGTTTACCTACGCCGCCATCTTGACCGGAAGTCCCTATCCTGTTTTCTTAAGCACACTAACTACCATCACATATATACACCTTACTCTATTATTCGCAAAGATCTCTAGAGATCACCAATTCTCTTCTGTTATAAGAACACCACTTTCCACCACTCTGTGTTGTTTCTACTATTTAAATTTTCCTGAAATCTAGCTCATCTTCTATAAAATACCTTCCATAATGAGTTCATTATTAACAATACATTTTTTGCTTTACAATTACAAAAGTAAAATATACTTATCATGGAGGATATCATAGAAAATGTAAAATATACAACAAACCCAGGTTGTTCAAAGTACTGATAACATCGTTAGTTTGAGTCTGAAAATGGTTACTTCCCATTTGAGTATCATTGGTAAAACAGCAGAAATACTAGTAAAAAAAAGTACCCTACAAAATTTTGTAAGTCATTTAAAAACTTGTATTAACATAATAAAAATGTAAATTTTTCTATTAAACTAAAACTTTGAGCAAAACTTTGACACATTAGTAAGCCATTCCTCCCATTCAATAAAAATGTTTCATTAAAATAATACAAAATAAGGGATATCTGTGTTTTACATTTTAAAAGTTCCTTAGCCTAAACCAGCTTATTTTGAGATACTGTTTTTAAACCTTTTCTTTGTGAACTTAATGTTTTTTAAAACGTGTTTGCAGAGAACAGCTTTGTTATCAACTCTTACCTTTTTATGAGATGATAAAATCAAAATATCCTTTGCATCACCAAATGGTTTTACTAGGTTATGAGCTTCTTCTATAGAATATCCTTTATTTGGCAAATTAGAAATGAGTACCACACACATTTCCTCTGTTTCCTTCAAAACAAATTTAAGAATTGACAATAAAATATAACTGCTCTTATATTTACCTAAGCTTACACTGCAGATAATGTTATGTTAGTATTTAAGTTGTATTTAATACTAAAACTAATCAATTTAGAAGGCTGGTCTGAATCTCAAATTAAAAACAAAACAAAATGCAAACTTCTCTTCAAGTACACAGAATAATTTCGGCCATACCACCTCTGCATCTAGTCAAGGTCTTTAATTCTCTTTTCAACAATGGTTCAAAAACACAAGTTTGCCTGTCTCTGACTATAACTTCCTTTTAGTTATATATCGTTTTATCTTATTGAATAAAATAATCACGTTTAAGCAATGTACAAAAAGCTTACCTAGTCTCTTAGCATTCTTATACCCCATAACACAATCCCCACTAAAAAGTAAGTACTTTCTTTTCTACATTCTCTTCTCTCAGATCTATTTTATTCTTCAAGATGACTCATCAATGCCAATATTTCCTTTAGTAGATGTTGGAGAAATCCCCCAAAGGTATACAATAGTAAATTTGGCAACTTCCGACTTTTCCTTTAGGAAAAAGGTGGGAAGTTATAATTTTCATAAACCAGCTGAGAATGATTTTAACTACTGTGTTCATAAATGGTTCCTTCTAAACTACTTTAAGTGAATCTAAAACATTCTATTAGTGCTTTAAAATATTCTTCCTAGCCCTGGCCGGTTTGGCTCAGCGGTTAGAGTGTCAGCCTGCGGTCCGGAGAGACCCGGGTTCGGTTCTCGCTAAGGGCACGAACGAACCTTGGTTGCAGTTTGTCCCTGGCCCTGGTTGGTTGTGCAGGTGGCGACCACTCGATGTGTCCCTTTCACATCGATGTTTCTCTCTCTCTCTGTTCCTCTCTCTCCCTCCCACTCTACCTGAACAAAGAATGGAAAAATGTCCTTGCGTGAGGATGGTAAAAAATATATATATATATTCTTCCTAAAAAAAATAGAAAGACATACTACTGACCATTTGGAGAATTAATCTACCTCCCAGTCAAAAGTAAACTTATGCTTAACACCTGAATGATCTCAAAATCTTAACCAATAAAATCTAAATTAATGAGATTTTAATATATTCATAACAGATGTAACCACAGGAAAACAATAAAGTGAACTTTATGCCCTTCAAATAAAATAGCAAACCCCACTTGCTCCTCTAAAAGCACAAAGAACTGGTGTTCTAAATATTAACATATTTATCTTTTGCCTCTAGCTAAAAAGAAAAAAAGGATTTCATAAAATCCCAATGGTTTTATTTTGACAACTTGTTGTTTACTCAAAACACCATTTTGGCCTAATGTTTTGTTCTCAGTGAAAATTAATCCTCATAAACATGTACACTTACTAATATTCGGTTCCTAAATTCTGGGGACTTACTCTGCAGCTCAAGATTTTTTAACTCAAACCGTATTTTAAAAGTAAAAGGATAACTGGAATTTTTTACCATGCCAAACCCTATACATTTTTAATGTGGGTTTATAGTAAAAGAAAATTAGGTTGTGCCAAAATTTCTTAAACTTTACAAAAGTATATAAAATATAAAAACTGACCTTGTTAACTGTTTCATTTTCTGTGACCACCAAAGCAGCTTCTTAAAATACAAAATAAAATAAGAATTCACGCAGATATATTTTATTTATCAAGACCCTACAATGTATTAAATAGTAATTACATGAATATGTATACAACGTACAAAAGAGTAGCGAATTTAAGTAGGAAATAGCTACAGAAGTAACAATGGCCTTTAAATAAAACATGTAGTTTTATCCCAAGAACAAAATTTCAGAATAATCAAGAGACAGAGTGAAGATCTAAACCATAATATTAATTTCAATTAGGTATGAATCTCATATTTAAAAATATACACACAAACATACAGACATGACAAAAAATGAAATACTACATTTTCCTAAAATTTTAATTTTCTACCTTTAACATGAGAAAAAAAATTTTTTTTTTCTATTGGCCTACCTGAAATAGTTTCTTTAGCACTATTTTCAGTGGCTTTAACTTCCACACTGGTCTTTACTTCAGGGTTTTCTGCATGAAATAATCTGCTTTAATAGTCTAGAAAAACACACTAATATAATTAAACTAATGAATCTAAACAGGAACTTTAGCTAGTTTATTCCAACTCTTTTGAGGATGACCTGATTTAAGTCATAGCTAATATAAGTTTCACTTTGAAAACAAAACAATTCCTTTGAAGATTGTTAAGTAATAATTTCAAAATATACCTTCAATATACACCAAGAGATCTAAAGAAAAGAAAGCATTAAATGACAGCATTTCAAGGTTACCTGATATAGCCATAGGTTTACTGACATCTTTGTTTTTGACAATGCCAGTCTTCTTGACTTCTAGAGACTTCTTTCCACTGGATTTTGCTGTCAAAAGCAAAATCGAACCATTATTCTAAGGGTCTGTTTGGTCATTTAGTATGTGTCACACTAATATATTACTAAATAAGTAGTTCAACTTTATTATAAAAGCAGTTCTTTTCTATATATTTATTTCTATTTATTTTCAATATGTGTTTACCAATCAGGTTTAAAGCAAATTTAAACTGAGATACAATTTTGTTGATGGCCATTAATGAGCCACATTATTTAACCCTCAGATGACAGAACACATTATAATCACATACACAAAAATCACATTTTATAATTTCTACAAAGGTACTTTACTTTAGTATACTGAAAAAGATCATGTTAGTTTACACATGTTATATTTATTTAAAACAGTGTTCCATTTCTTTATAAAGGAAATACATTCTTGTAATATGGAAAGAAAAAATATTTACAGTAATAAACATCAGAACTGAACAAGCTAAGGAAGGTAATATGAAGTGACAGCTTTATAAAATAAGGAAAACAAAGATTAAACAATTTGTCGGGGGGAAGTAGCAGAAGAGCCTGTAATTATACAGTTGTTTGTATGGAAAATAATACAGTAATTAATAATACAAGAATAAATTGTTTTGCATACTCACTCCCACCCTGTATAGCTGTCAAAAAGGTTTCCACACAAAAATATGTCTACGATAGTAGATAACATCAAAGATCAAAGTACCAAAAATTTACAGTTCTGTTTGTTTTAGGTTTTAAATATTAAAGAAGTATCTACTAAATTTTTCAAGATGTTATTAGGTACTACAAATTGTATAAATTTAAAATTTGGTTTTGATATCATTTTATACTATTTTTTAAGGCAGATTAATATACTTAAAATGAGGACAAAAAGAGACTTTGCTTGGGGTGTGATGCAGTGTGCAGATGTTTTATTGAGTTATATACTTGAAACCTGTATGGCTGTGTGAACCAATGCCACTCCCATAAGTTCAGTAAAAAAATAAGTAGATAAAATATAGTTTGAAGTAGAAAATACAGTCAATAATATTTTAATTACTATGTATGGTGTCAGGTGGGTACTAGACTTGTTGGGGGCTATCACTTTGTAGGTTATACAAATGTCTAACCACTATGCTGTACACCTGACACTAATACAACTGAATGTGAACTGCAAGAAAAACAAAACCATGCTTAATTAGACCTCTCCCCTCCCAAAGGTCTTACCTGTTTTGACTGAAGCTTTATTACCTTTAGCAGCTACTGTTACCACAGATTTTACAGAACCCGTTGATTTCCCTAAATCACAATAAAGCTGTAGTCAAAATTGGTTTAATATCAACAATCCCCAAAGAACCTCACAAAGAAAGAATATAAGAGTGATGGGCTAGGTTTTATTCGAAACATATAATGCTATCACCTATTGGTGTACAGCCGTTTTTTATTTATTATTATTATTATTTTAAATCTCGCCTAAGAATATGTTGTATTTTTATGACTGATTTTTTTTAGAGAGAGGAAGGGAGAGAGAAACATCAATGTGAAAGAAACATCAATTGGCTTGTAGGTGCCCACACCAGGGATTGAACCCACAATCTAGATACGTGCCCTGGCCGCGAATCAAATCCACAATCTCCAACGGAGCCAGCCGGCCAGGGCAACACAGACCATTTTTCAAACCTAGCAATGATGATATTGTCTTCAGGAAGAAAAACATTACTGAAGTAAGAATTCAGGTACATAAAAATAGCAAGTTAAATAAATCTCTGAATGGGTGGATCAACTTGAGGCAAAATTACTAAAAGGATATAAAAACAGTCCCGTGTAGCTTTTAATGGTTCCAAAAACAATTATATTTAGGGTCTCCTGGCTCATGCTTCTTTGGCTCCCAGTTGATGAAAAGATGAAAAGCATTCAAGGACACCTACATCATGGTCAGGCCATGGAAAAATTACTTTGACTCGTTTCTAGCGGGCCCTATCTGAACAGGAGTATTTACATTGCTCTGGACTTTCCTCTTATATACGCATCTATTATGGTTGCTTATTTTCCAAGATGATGTTGTTTATAAAGACTGTTTATCAAAGTGTCAACAATAAGATCGCCACAGAGCCAAAACCCTTTCTATTCAGAGAACAACAGGAGGCTTAGCTCTGAAAATTAGGATTCATAACAAGGTAGTATGAAGAGAAAGCCCAGGTCAGAAGCCATTAGGTCCAAGTTCAAATCTAAGTTAAGTTGTGAAGACTTAGGTGCACTAACCAATTTCTGTACACATCTCCCCATTTATAAACAAGGGTGGTAATTGCCATAACACCTAACAGAGCCCTGTGAGAATGTGATCATGCTTAGAAAAGTTACACAAAGGAAAATAATTATTGACATCCACAAAAATCAATTGAAATTGTTTACAAATCCACCCTTTATATCTAAAGACAGACCTAATCTTTGCTCAAAAAGAGCAATACCAATCCTTATAAACTGTCACTGAACCAGTCATTAAAAATTTTTGTCACACTGCAGTAACCTGAGCCCTAATGAGTCCTAAAATTATTTCTTTCACCCATCTCTATGTTGCTACCACAAGTCAGTTCACTTTACTACTCTAAAGGGGACCAGAATGTAAGGAAAAAAATATCTAAAATTAATTTCCACCAGTTAAAAGGGTGGCTAGTGGCTTTAGCACTCACTCACCTAAATCTCTACCAATGACTCACATAAACTTACTATCAAAGTAATATAAAACTGTCTGTTAAATAAACACATCTTCAAAACAACTTTCTAGCCATCCCTGGCATCCTCGGATTACTGCTTTTAAGAAACAATTATAGCCCTGGCCGGTTTGGCTCAGCAGTTAGAGTGTCGGCCTGCGGTCCTGAGAGACCCGGGTTCGGTTCCCGCTAAGGGCATGTACCTCGGTTGCAGTTTGTCCCCAGCCCTGGTCGGTTGTGCGGGTGGCAGCCACTCGATGTATTCCTTTCACATTGATGTTTCTCTCTCTCTCTCTGTTCCTCTCTCTCCCTCCCACTCTACCTGAACAAAAAATGGAAAAATGTCCTCCGGTGAGGATAAAAAAAAAATAAATAAATAAATAAAAATAAAAAAAAAAGAAACAATTATATACACCCTGGCCGGTTTGGCTCAGCAGTTAGAGCGTCAACCCGCGGACCTAAAAGACCTGGGTTCGGTTCCCTTTAAGCCAGGACACGTACCTTGGTTGCAGTTCATCCCTGGCCCCAGTTGGGGTTTGTGGGTGGCACCCAGTAGATGTCTCTCTCTCACATCGATGTTTCTCTCCCTCTCTCTCTCTCTCTCTCCCCCCCTCTCTATCTGAAGGTAAATGCAAAAAAGTCCTCAGGTGAGGATAAAGAAAAAAGATTTTAAAGAAACTATTATATGAACATTCTGGCTTTGCCATTAACAATGATATCTGCCAGTTCAATGCTGCTTCATTTCCTTTCTACCACTATAGGGAAGCATTTAATACACTGACCTCTACCCACTAAATTAACAGGCATTTAGCAGAAATGGGAGGGCAAATAGAAAGGAAGGTAATGCTAGGGAAAGGGAAAAAAATTAAAAATTACTTTTAAACCCACAATAGCCCATAAAAACGACAACGAGAACATAAATTGCAGTAAATTTATCTGCACTATTTCATTAAAGAAAGTAGAGAGAAGACCTCAATAAAAGAGAATGAGGAAAATATCTCTGATATCATCATAAGAAATAGTTACCCTGTCAAATTATCTTATTTTGATATTTATAATCACTGCAAGGAAAGAGCATTATCTACTAAATCTCCTCCCTCAAAGTTTCTAGATGACTATAAATTTCAAAGATTAATATGCACTTAACATCTACTACATCACATGAAATCCAACACTACTACTATATACTTCTTAAATGATTTAAGGTTAACTAAGATGCCTAAAATCCTAATAAAAACCTTACCTGAAGATTTATTCACTTTGGCTACAGATGTCTTGGCTTGTCCAGTTTTGGCTAGAACAAAAAACATATCAATAATATAGTATAAATAACACAATTTAGATTTTTTAAAGAGCTAACCTGGCAATGATTTTGAAAACAAAAAACAGCAAGAAACATTTCTATACTCATCTTTGTATACACGTGGAACTGTAACTATAGGTAAATTCTTAGACTTGGACTTGTTGACACAAAGGCACAGATTTAAATTTTAACAATTAACATTAAATTGTCCTCCAGAAACGTTGTACCAATTAATATTCACATTAATAAATAGTATATAAGAATGGGACTTCCCCATTTCCACACAAACACAGTATGTAAAAGAAGTTTTTCGCCACTCCAATTTGAGATAGAAACGGGTATGACAATTTTTGTTGCTTTAATTACTAGTAAAGTTGTGTCAATTTTCATATGTGTAATTAATCTCTATTATTTGCCAATTTCTCTTTGGGGTTGTTGAGGTTTGTCTTATTTATTAGAGCTCTTTATATGTTAGGAAGATCAGTAACAATTTTTTAAAAAGTTATACATAATACTTATAAAAAGATACTTTTTATGTAGTCAAATGTCTTCCTGATTACAGTTAGGACATTTCTCACTCTGAAATTTAAAATACAAAAACCTCACATTTTCTTTCAACACTTTAGCATCTTATGTATAATATTAAATCTTTGATCCATCTATGATTTATTTTGACATTATAAGTTCTTTACTTTTATAAAGTGGATAGTTAATTTAATGAATAACTGATCTTTTTCTCATTATTCTGAAACATTACCATAATAATTTATTGATATTCAATCTTTTGAAGAATTATTTCTTCTATCCTAGTTATCTTCTGTTTATTTATTCAGCTATATGGAACTACTCTGAATCTTTAACTTTATACATTTTAATATCTGTTAGTGCTAGTCCATCCTAATTACTCTTCCTTTGCAGAACCTTCCTGCCTATTCTAAATTAAATTTTTGTGAATAAAAAATAAAAAGTATCAGCTTATGGCCTGGTCGGAATTACTCAGTAGTTAGACTGTCAGCCCAAGAACCAAAGAGTCGCAGGTTCGATTCCCAGTTAAGACCTGGGTTGCAGGTTTGACCCCCCAAGTGGCGGCGCATGTGGCAGGCAACCAAGCGGTGTGTTCCTCTCACAATGATCTTTCTTCTCCCTCTCCCCCTCTCTCCCTTCCACTCGCTCTAAAAAAATTGATGGAAATAATATCCTCAGGTGAGGATTAACAACAACAACAAAAAATCAGCTTATAATCAGCTTACATGTTTTTAAAATCTTACTGGTATTTTACCAGGTTCATATTTGTTTTAATATATTTTAAAAAGGGTAGATTCTAATGGTGAGGTTTTCTATCTAAAAATGAGCCATTTTCTCATTTAATTTCTCATTTTTTAATGCCTTAGTATTTTACTTATTTTTTTAAAATAATTTTTCTTTATTGATTTTGAAGGAGAGGGAGATAGAGAAGATCAACTGGCCGCTTCCTACATGCCCCCTACTGGGGATTGGGCCTGTAACGTGGGCATGTGCCCTGACCAGGGATTGAACCAACAACCTCTGGGTGCATTAGCCGATGCTCAACCACTAAGCCACACCAGCTAGGTGCCTCTTAGTATTTTAACGTTTTCTTTTCATAGCTTTTACCTTTTTTATTATTGCAAATGAAATATTTTATTAAATTATATGTTATTCTTTGTATATAAAAGCAATTAAAACACTTTATTAGAAAATTAGGTAAGAGGGCTAATTATATTTAACAGCATTTCAATAGTCTCTTGGATTTTCCATACCTACTTGACTTTTCCACCATACATACATAGTTGCAAATAATAATGTTCTATCCTACTTTCTAATGTGTATGCCTCTTGATTTACAGTGCATTGGCCAGTGGCTATTATATTTATTTATTTAGTTGCTGTTAATCCTCACCTGAGGATATTTTTTCCATTGAGTTTTAGAAAAGAGTGAAAGAGAGGAAGGAAGAGAAGAAGGGAAAGGAGGAGAGGGAGGGAGGGGGAGAGAAAGAGAGAGAGAAGGAGATTAATGTGAGAGAGAGAGAGACATCAACTATTTGCCTCCCACACCTGCCCCAACCAGGGTTGGGGATCTCGAACCTGCAACTCGGGTATGTGCCCTTGACTGGGAATCAGACCCGTGACCCTTTGGTACAAGGGCCAACACGCTAACCACTGACCCACACTAGCCAGCGCAAGGTTGTAATATTTATGTAAATTCAAAAAAGTGAGAGTATTTCTTGTTTTGCTGCCAATCTTTTTTTTTTTAATCTTCACCTGAGGATATTTTTCCATTTCTCTTCAGATAGAGTGGGAGGGAGGGAGATAGAGAGAAGCAGTGAAGGTGAGAGAGACACCTTGACAGGCTGCCTCCCGCATGACCTTGGCGACCAGGGCCATGAGCTGACTTTCTAGTTGCTGAGCCAAATGGTCCAGGGCTTGTTGCCAGTCATTTTTTTTTTTTTAATCCTCACCGGAGGACATTTCTGCATTTATCTTCAGATAGAGCAGGAGGGAGAGGGGGGGGAAGAGAGAGAGGGGAAGAGAGAGAGGGGAAGAGAGAGAGAGAAACAGCAATGTGAGAGAGACACATGGACTGGTTGCCATCCACACGACCCCAACCGGGGCAGAGAAAAACTGCAACGGAGTTTCATGCCTTTAGCGGAACCAAACCTGGGACTCTCTGGTCCGCAAGCCAACGCTCTAACCGCTGAGCCAAACTGGCCACTGCGCTTGTTGCCAGTCTTAATGGGAAAACATCAACTGTTTCATTATTAAGCATATGCTGGCTTTTGACTTGATATATGAATATATATTTCTATGTATATGAATAAAAGTACAAATACACAAAGAACACTATCATATTAAGATGGTAGTAGTCTACTTTAAGAATTTTTTAAATGCTAAGAATGAATGTTAAACTTTACTAAATATCTTTTAAGCATTTATCTTCCTCTAATATGGTCAACTGAATGAACAGATTGCCTAATTTTGAACCATCTTTATATTTCTGATATGACCTCTTGGGCACAGTATATTATTCCTTTAATGTGCTCCCAGATACCACATGCTAATATTTAACTTTAAAATGTTATATCAATATATTCATAAGTGAAATTATTTTAGTTTTAATTTACTACGATAGCTTTATCAGCATTACCGAACTTATTTAACTTTTAAATTTGAGAGAATTGTAAATTCACATGAAATTTTAAGAAATAACTGGGAGAGATACCATATAACCTTCACCCAATTTCACCTAATGGTAATATTTTGCATAACTATAGTATAATATCACAAAGAAGAAACTGATATGGATACAATCTACCACTATTCAGATTTCCCCAGTTTTACATGCACAAATTAATGTATAGTTAGTTTTATCAAATTCTATCATATGCATGTAGATTACTGTGACCAGCAGTCAAAGATACAGTAGAGTTCCATTACAAGAATCTATCCTATTACCCACTGATAGCAACAGCCACCTCCCTCCCTCCCCTCCAACCCTTGACAACCACTAATCTGTTCTCTATCTCTATCTTATTATTTCAAAAATGTTATAAATGAAAACTTATAATATTAATGGGATCAAATGACAAAACTTCCTAGCATGAATCCTCAAGGCTTTCTATAAAGTAACTCCTCAATTCTGTTACCTTTATTATGAACTGAAGTATTTTCTGCCCTATATATTATCTGTTTACATATTCACATTTAAAACGTTAGTCAAAATTCACTGCCCTCCAGAAGCCATCCATAATCACCTTCACTAACTTCCAGTAACTTTAGCATACTGTTCAACAAAACATTATGGAAAACTGAAATATTCTATGAAACCCAATTTTCCAGTCACTTGAATATTAGTTTCTTGAAAGCTAATTAATCTATTCTGAAAATAAATCCAGAACATACTATACACCTGCCTTTCCAAAAGAGAACATATAAAACACAATTTAACATTCTGAATATATTTTATGTCTACTTCACTTTAGTTTTTGTCTTATCCCTCACTATTAAGCTGTTTATCTTACTAGACTCAAGAGTGTATATTTTGGAAAAAATTCCTTGTCTCCACCTTTCCAATCCTAAACAGAGTAAGAAAAAAATGTAACCCAGTTTATTAAAATTGCATAAACAATTCATTTAGTTAGATTCATAATAAAGGCTTGCTTGATGTGCTTTCCTGTGTATAAAGAAACATGAGTATAGCCCTGGCCAGTTTGGCTCGGCGGTTAGAGCGTCGGCCTGCGGTCCGGGGAGACCCGGGTTCAGTTCCCGCTAAGGGCACGTACTTTGGTTGCAGTTTGTCCCCGGCCCTGGTTGGTCGTGCGGGTGGCAGCCACTCGATGTGTCCCTTTCACGTCGATGTTTCTCTCTCTCTCTCTCCCTTCCTCTCTCTCCCTCCCATTCTATCTGTACAAAAAATGGAAAAATATCCTCGGGTGAGGATTAAAAAAAAAAAAAAAGAAAGAAACATGAGTATAATATCTATTTCTGTTTAGACTTTTTTGTTTATTTTGGCTCTTTCAAAAACAAAGGGGACCAGAAAAGCAATCTTAACATACTTTATGTTTTGTCTTTTGGGCTTATTGGGAGGGGATGAAGAGAAGTATTGCAAAACTAATGTAAACAGCTATTAACTATAGAATGATGACAGGTATTCCAGAAGAGGTCCTTTAACTACATAGTAGTAAACAGCCTAATACAGGAGCCATTTTGGGTCCCTACTACTAAAGCACAAGAAATGTTTTCCTAGCATCATTTTGCAAGAAGAATATAGTAAACTTACAAAATACACTCATTTGGAGAAGGATTATTAAAAGTAACAACTTACTAGCAGAAGATGAAGTCACAGTTTCAACAGCTTTGGAAGCATCTGCATCTTTTCTATTTAAAAGAAGAAAAATTTAGTAAATTCTAAGTTCTAAAACTTCTAAAGATGCAAAGTTTATAAGTTTAAAACGATTCAATTTGAACACTGTCCCATTTAAACTAGAGTTAGTAATCAAACATTAAAATTGCAGTTGTAAAAACTGAACATTTTTAGTACATATGCACATTCATTCTCACATACGAAATCATAAACATCACTTACTTTAAAGTAGGTGCAGATGTTTTCTTGGAATCTGCTGTCTTTTTCTTCACTTCTTTGTTCTACAAAAAAATAAAAAAAATTAAGAAAATTTAGTTTCTTTTTCAAGTAATATGCTTTAGAAAACACAGAAAAGCCTAAGAAATTTTTTTAAAAAATTTTTTAACTTCCTACCCAAAAGTATAAATGCATATTATCTTTCTCTATTTACAGATAGAATGAGAATATTTTCTTCAGTCTGTGATCACATATAGCATAATTTCACATCCTACCTTTTACTACTCATCTATATCTTATCATTATCTTTTAAAAACACTCCAAATAGCACTATGACATTCCAGATGTCTAACTGCTATCACAATGATCAATCTACCACCATCTTTTATTGTGACTACAATAACCTCGTTAACAGTCTCACTGCCTTTTAATCCTATTAGTAGTTATTTTTAATTTTTAAAGAAATTTGAAACAATAGATTTCTTCTGTATAAATTTAAAAATTTAGTCCTTACTCCCTTGGCTACATACCAATTTTTGATGGTATGTTTTAGACCAAAGAAATTTTTTTTAGCTTTTTTTTTATCCTCACCCGAGGACATTTTTCCATATTTTGTTCAGAGAGTGGGAGGGAGGAAGAGAGAGGAAGAAGAGAGAGAGAGACACACATCGATGTGAAAGGGACACATCGAGTGGTTGCCATCCGCACGACCCTACCAAGGCCACAGACAAACTGCAACCAAGGTATGTGCCCTTAGCGGGAACCAAACCTGGGTCTCTCCAGACCACAGGCCGATGCTCCAACCACTGAGCCAGGGATTTTTGGCTATTTTAAGTAACATTTTTTTCAATTTATTATTTTATAAATATATGCTTAGATTTACTGTTTAAGTGGTCTCATTGCTCATTACCCATCATTTTACATCATAACTTCTCTATTTCTTAATGTTCTTCATTTATATAGTAATATTTTAGGAAAGATATATAGATGCACTACTTTATGAGCCCATGGTGAGAATACTACCAGAGGACAAAATTTAGTATTTGTCTTGATATAAATGTAGTGAACCACAATGAATCAATCTTTCCCCCATTCAACCTTGAAAATGTGGTGCCTTGCTACCTAAGGCTAGACTATTCCTTTTTATAGTTATACCGTTTCAGGCTCTGGACCACTATATGTTGCCCCAATGTAAGTATGAAATTTAAAATCTTCACCAGTATTTAAATGGTGTCCTCTTTCTGTAATTCCAGTTAAATGCAGTTTGGATTTAGTAAATGTATACACCGTGTCTTTCCTCTTCATCATTTTAGGATCTTTAACCTTCTAAATAGACTAACCTCCAAGAAGTTTGGAAGCACGTCTCTTTTGTTCACCACTGCATCATCTGCAGATACCACAATGCCTAACACTTGACAGATGTTTAAAAATAGTTTTTAGCCCTGGCTGGGTTGCTAAGTGGTTAGAGCATCAGCCCACAAACCAAAAGAGTCGTGGGTTCGATTCCAATCAAGGGCACGTACCTCAGTTGCAGTTTGATCCCGGCCCTCATCGGGGTCACGCGGGAGGCAGCCAACCCATGTTTCTCTCTCTCCTCCCCTCCCACTCTACCTGAAGATAAATGGAAAAATATCCTCAGAAAAGAACTTGAAAATAAATTTTAAAAAATAGGTTTTAATTTGAATGAAATTGAACTCTCATCTTAATTCTGACTGTTATCTTTTTCGTTTTATCTCCTTGTTACTCACTAGATTTTCCATAATGTTCAAACCAGTGTTCACTGTTCCCAGCATTATTTTTCGTTTTCATGACATCTTGGACCTTAGCTGACTATTTGTTCTAGGTAATGGATGTAACATCCCCATGAAATTTGCTGAAAAGGCTAAAATTAAAAATTTTAAAGTCTTGAGGTTTGTTTGTTTTTACAAAGGGTTGACCTGCAACACTTTTTCATAGTAACTGCCCTTCTTTTTCCTAGTTTGGTCTTCCAGCTCTCTTGGACTTGTTCTGGCAGGAAAAATTAATGTAATGTGCCCTGTGGAGTAACAGGCTGAAAAGACCGTCCCCATATACATCTACCCTGATGAAGCCATAACCAGAGTTCTGTTGGGGGTTCCCCCTCCAGTCAATCCCTGAGCCTGATGCTCTGTCTCAACAAGGAATCTTGGGTTAGCCTTCTAAAGCTACTTCAATTCAACACCATCCAAATCATATTTAGTTAAAGATCATCAATGTTTCTGAAAGGTAGATGGTATGTTTTCTAGTTTCCAATGCTGATTCTTTGCACTATGCTTTTTTAAAAAAATCCTCACCCGAGGATACTTTTCCATTGATTTTCAGGTAGGGTGAAAGGAAGGAAGGGAGGGAGGGAAACATCGATGTGAGAGAGACACACACTGACAGGTTACCTCCTGCATGACCCCAACCAGAGCCGGGGATTGAACCGCAACTGAAATTCGTGCCCTTGACCGAAATCAAACCCAGGAGTCTTTGGTCCGCAGGCCAAAGCTCTAACCACTGAGATAAACCAGCCAGGGCATCCACTATGTATTTTTATGAAAATCAGGATAGCAAATATGGTTGGGCTATTGGACTTTTAGTGTTACCTTACCAACCTCAACAAAAAGTCACCCAAGATAATTATTTTAATCTATGTGAAATACTCTAAGACCTTAAACGTATCCTTACTCATCAATTTTCCCAGATTGAACTTTTCAGAATTAAAGAAGAATGATCTTTAGCCCTGGCCGGATTGGCTCAGCAGTCCAGAAACTTAGGTTCGGTTCCCGCTAGGGGCACGTACCTCGGTTGCAGTTTGTCCCCGGCCCTGGTTGGGTCATGTGGGAGGCAGCCACTCAATGTATCATCGATGTTTCTCTCTCTCTCTCTCTCTCTTTTCCTCTCTCTCCCTCTCATGCTATCTGAACAAAAAAATGAAAGCCCTGGCCAGTTTGGCTCAGCGGTTAGAGTGCCAGCCTGTGGACCAGAGAGTACCGGGTTCTGTTCCAGCTAGGGGCATGTACCAAAAAAAAAAAAAAAAGGAAAAATGTCCTCAGGTGAGGATAAAAAAAAAAAAAAAAAAAAAAAAAAGACTGATCTTTCTCCCTAGTTCTCCAAATGTAATGATCAGCCAAGTCTTGCTCAAGAGTCACCAGTATAATGTGTTCCAGTTTCTATTCTCAAGGTCTACCTAAAACTGTTCTATTATCACAACAGGCTAATGACTACACGAGTGGACTGGACTTAAGCGATCTTTTCTCTTCACCCCTTTACTCAATATGCTAAGCTTTCCTTGCATTCAGAGTCATTTGCTCAATTCATTCTTCCAGATGAATCTTTCTAAACCATTCATTTCATCAGGACATACCTCTACTCAAATAATATTTAACTGTCTACAGGATCAAGTTTAAGTTCTTAAATTATGCATTTAATTCTTGCTTCCCCTTAACCTCCTCTACAACTAGAGATGGCTATGTTTCACAGTTCTGGTAAATCAAATGTGGGTAAAAAAATCCTTCCCAGACAAAATAAATAAAAATCAAAACCCATTTTCCTCTTGATTTTTATTCCTTTCTTTCTGCTTAGAAGATAGAAATGATGTCAGAAGGTACAGCAACCATGTTACAACTGAGGATGAAAAGTACATGCTAAAGATGGTGGAGCAGATAAACAAAAAGGCTGGGTTCCTAAACATATAATAAAGCTGCTGTACCAGACATGGACTACCTACCTGCAGATTTCCTGTTATGGGTAAAAAGTTTATTTGTTTAATAAACACTGGTTGGAAATGAAAAAATTCTAAATGACAAAATTGGTAATGACTAGGATTACCATATAATTTATTATTCAAATCAGCACAATGGGAATAAAACGATAGCATGCAGCAGAGCAGATATGAACTAGGATGATGCATTACTCTAGCAGAAAACGAGAAATAAAAGTCCTTTCTCTCATAGCAATTTAAATACTTATAATACATACAAGTAAATATAAGAAATAACTTCCCTTCAAAAAGGTATAAAAATATTATTGAAATAGAAAACTTGCTGAAGAGATAAGCCACGTTTTTTTAACAGAAAAATAGTATTATAAAAACATCAATACAAGTTCAATAAGTATTGATTAACCTCCCAAAAAAAACTTTTTTTTTTTTATCCTCACCCGAGGATATTTTTCCATTTTTTGTACAGACAGAGTGGGAGGGAGAGAGAGGAAGGGAGAGAGAGAGAGAAACATCGACGTGAAGGGACACATCGAGTGGCTGCCACCCACATGACCAACCAGGGCCGGGGACAAACTGCAACCGAAGTACGTGCCCTTAGCGGGAACCGAACCCGGGTCTCTCCGGACCGCAGGCCGACGCTCTAACCACTGAGCCAAACTGGCCAGGGCCCAAAAATACTTTTCAGAGAACTTAAACTAATTCTGAAACTACTACGAAGGAGTAAAATGTTCAGGATTAAGCAAAATAAATTTAAATAAAGAACAAAGAAAAAGGATTGTACTAGAAAAATAGGCAAATACTATAAATTTTATATTTATAACAATTGAAATCACACAGTACTGACACAAAAATAAAGAGACTTAAAAAGTTTCAAACATGGACCCCTACACTGAAAGGTTTCATTAACCGAAAGGAATGTTCATGGTGCATTACCTGCTTCTAAGCAAATCTATGAGGAAAAAAAGAGAGCAAACAAAACATCATGGACATATTCCTGAAAACAGTGACATCTCAAGAAAAGTCTCAGGCAGGTCCTTCCAGAGGTGTTACAGAAGCAGCTAAGTGTTATTACAAAAGAGTCAAAAGTTTTTTAAATTTTCAAGTTCATAAAGTAAAATAATTACAGTATGCTATTACTAAAGAAAGAAAAATATTAAGTTTAGCCTGAGTGTACAGTATTTATAAAGTCTACAGTCGTGTACAGTAATGTCCTAAACCTTCACATTCACTCACTACTCACTCAATGACTCACCCTGAGCAATTTCCAGTCCTATAAGCTCTGTTTATACTAAGTGCCCTATATAGATGTACCATTTCTATGTTCAGATACAAACATTTACTACTGTGTTATAGCTGCCTGCAGTATTCAGTACAGAAACATGCCATACAGGTTTCTATTGAAGCCGAGGAGCAATAGGCTACACCATATAGCCTAGGTATGTAGTAGGCTATACCATCTAGGTTTGTGTAAGTACACTCTGTGATGTTCCTACAATCACAAAATCACTTGCTGACACATTTCTCAGAACGTATCCCCATTGTTTGGCAAAACACGATAATATATATACATATAAAAAGGTTGCTAATTCCTGTGTTTCTGAATCTATACGCATACAATCTGTTGTGTAAACATTTGTTTTATGCATTTTTCTGTATGTGCTACACTTAGGCAAAAAAACTTAAACAAATCAACAATAATGAAACAGAACTAAATCCACTTTACCTGTGTTTTTTTCTTTCCTGTAACACATACTTTCACATTTTTCCCTTTTACCAAAAGAGGTGTTGTTTCAATGTACTTCATGACTGCAGTAACTGCCTCCTTAAATTCCATTTTCAAGTAAGCCTAAAACAAAATATATTATTAGTAAAAAAATCTAACTTAAAATTCTCTGCATGACTTAATACTACTTCATGAAACATAAAGCTATGATTACCTCAAGTCCTGATTTTACCTTGCTTATTGTTTTGCTAAAGTGTAATTTGATTTTTAGGATATTTTCACACATGAAATGGACCTTTAACCTTATAGAATTTCTATACCTTTACCAAGATAAGAAGAGGGAAACAGGGACCCATGGTAGGCTCATGGAACAATGAGAAATGGAAGGACAGGGATCAATGAACAATCAATGATAAGGCAGGATGTAGTCTAGTTGCTTTAAGTCTGACATTTTTTTAAATTCCCATCCAAGGATATGTTTAGAGAGATGAAGGGAGAGAGAAATATCGATGGGAGAGAGAAACGTTGATGGGCTATCCTCCACACAAGCCCCAACCGGGAATCGAACCAGCAATCTAAGTATCTCCCCTGATGGGGAATTGAACCTGCCACCTTTTGGTGTGTGGGACAACGCTGTAGCCCAGCCACCTGGCTAGATCAAGTCTGATATTTTTAAAGCTCTTGCAACAAAACACTAACCAATCTCCACCCCATGTTCCCTTGTTTTATCTCACAACTTTATGTTGTGCTTAGTCTGAGGCTGTTCATGGTTTTGGTGAACTTTATTATGTGAGTAACAGGAACACAATCCACACGTAAAAAATACTTACTGTACAAAATCATGTTTTAGTATAACCTTACTGGTGTCTAAAGCCATTGTTGGCAAACCAAGGCCTGCCATCTGTTTTGTTGTTTTTAACCCTCACCTAAGGACATGTTTATTGATTCGAGAAAGGAAAGGAAAGAGAGAGAGGGGGAGAGAGGGAAACACTGACTGGTTGTCTGCCGTACATGCCCTGAATGAGGATCAAACCCACAACTTAGGTATGTGCCCTGACCGAAAATCAAACCCACACCTATTTTTTGGGTGTACAGGATGATTCTCCAATAAAAACTGAACCACCTATCCAGGGCCTGCCTCCTGTTTTTAAAAATAGTTTTTTTGAATACAGCCATGCTCATTCATTTATATAGTATCATGGCTGCTTTTGAACTACAGTGGCAGAGTTGGGTAGCTGCAAACCTATGGCATGCAAAGCCTAAAATTTACTACCTGGCCCTTTATAGAAAAAGTGTACCAACCCCTGTTTAAAGAATATTAAATAGTATTCTGGGAACTTGCTCATTTGAATCCAAATATTTATATAACTTTCAGTGAACAATTTATATATGTTATATATGTTATGTATGTTGTGAAAGTAGCTAAAAGATCTAACAATTTTTTTAAGCAATAACTTTGTATGTATTTTCAGAAAAGACTGAATGACTCACCTCCTTTCTATATGGAACAATCAGGACATCATTAACTTTTCCAAATGGTTGAAATAGTTTTTTAATATCTTCTTCAGTATAGCCATCTTCTGGTAATTCAGATATAAGAAGAACTGAACCATAATACAAAGGCTGGTCTTTCCGAAGCTATTTTGGGGATGAAAGAAAATTAAAAATAAAACAAATTAACACACAAAGTACAATAACAATAATTCCCAATATAAATTCCTCTACCATTATTCTTAGTCCTTTAAAGTCTTCTAAATATTTTAGCACAGTTAAAAAGTTTTAAATGTTAGCCCTGGCCGGTTTGGCTCAGCGGCTGGAGCGTCGGCCTGCGGTACAGAGAGACTCGGGTTCAGTTCCCGCTAAGGGCACGTACCCGGCCCTGGTTGGTCGTGCGGGTGGCAGCCACTCGATGTGTCCCTTCACGTCGATGTTTCTCTCTCTCTCTCCCTCCCGCTCTATCTGAACAAAAAATGGAAAAATGTCCTCGGGTGAGGATAAAAAAAAAAAAAAGTTTTAAATGTTAAAGAAAAGTGGTAAGAAATATGTCATATATTTTACCATTCAAACCTAACAGTGGTAATGAGTTTATAGGTAACCAATCACAGATGCTCTTTTCTGTTTAGAAACATTTTATAACAAACAAGACCTATGAAATGGTCCAAAACTATTAATATTTTTCTATATGAATCTGTATGGTCCATCACTAATGAAGCTGAAATTACAGCTTTGTTCACTGTGTTCTAATAATTGACAGTATCTTAAAAGTTATAGTATTTTTAAAGACTCATATGTAATATATACATTTTGAATAAACTAATATCAAATTTACCACCTATGGTAAAAACCAACTTAAAAAAAAAAAATCCCATGGCCATCACCTAGAAATCTTGAAGAAGAAAAAAATAAACCATCAGCTTTCTCAAAATTTCTGCCCAATGCTCTTCAAAATTATGTAATTACAGGTTGATAATTTTAAGTTTATCTTTACAAGGTCTTTGGGGCAGGGAACTGTAGTTGTTGAAAGCAGTTAATGTTAAAGTAATGAGTAACTAAATACTTGAAGACTTCTGAAGATTACAACAACCTAAACATTTCATAAACTTGCCAATTAGGAGTTACTCTGATAATCTCAAGGTGCATTATATAGTACTTACGATAATAGTAATTTACTTAACATAAACAATAAAATAGTAACTCAGTACTGTAAATAGCAAATGAAAAGTCACAAAACACCAAAAAAAAAAAACAGTACCCAGAAAACAGGCAATTCCATACTTGATAACAAAGTATTTGACTTCTGAATTGTACTGTGAAAAGTGTAAAACAGGCCCTGGCCGGTTTGGCTCAGCAGTTAGAGCATCAGCAGATAGACCAAAAAGTCACAGGTTCAATTCCAGTCAAGGGCACAAACCTGGGTTGCGGTTCGGTCCCCAGCCCTGGTTGGGGTCGTGCAGGAGGCAATCAATTGATGTCTCTCTCTCACATCAATGTCTCCCCCCCCCCCCCATCTCCCCCACTCTATCTAAAGATCAATGAAAAAATATCCTTGGGTGAGGATTTAAAAAAAGTATAAAACAAGTTGAAAATAATCAATTCTCAGTAGAGAATCACTCTTTCTTAAAAACTGATTTTAGAGAGGGAGTAAGGTGGCAGAAGAGAGGGAGAGAGGAAGTGAAAGAGGGAGAAAAGGAGGGAGAGAGAAAGAGAGAGAAACCTCAATGGGTTGCCTCCTATATATGCCTCCCGACCAGGGAATGGAACCCTCAACCCAGGTATGTACTCTGGCAATCAAAACCACCACCTTTTGGTGTATGGGAGGACACTCCAACCAACTGAACCATGCCTGCTAGGGCGAGACTCACTCTTATAGCTTACTAACAAATATTACAAAAACATTAATGCTACTGCTGATTACATTCACTTTCCCAACCAGATAGCAAAACTCATTATGATTTGGTTATGTTGCTAGCCAAAAACACCAAAGCTTCACACTCTTCTCACTTTTGATAGATCAAATGCCAAACATTTAGGACTTGTAAACTACAAGATTTAGAATTATTGCACTTTTATTAGATTCATAAGAAAAAAACAATAAAATATTCCATACCAACAGAATTTAACAAGTCACTATTCAAACTTTTGGCAAAATGAAAATAAAAAAATTCAGATAACTCTGTTTTCTGTCATAATAGCAAATGTATGCACACACTTGCACTAACAAATTAAAGAATTACTGACCTTACGCTGGACAGAAACAGCTTTACCAGACACCTGTTTACATTCTGATAATGTGCCATCTTCAAGATTCTTTGATTTGTAACGAATAGAACATCCTCCTAAATTTGAATCATTCTTCGTAGAGCTTGTAGATTTAACTGATGGCTTTGATCCACTGCCCGTTTTAGGCTTTGGTGCTGGTGACTGTCCCTTATCAACTGCTTCTAAATGCTTCTGTTTATTGAATTCTGACACATGCCCAGATCGTTGTGCTACATCTTCTAATGCTCTTTTTCTTTCTAGTGAAAAGGATATAAATACTACTTTACTTGAAAAGAACTTAAGGTACAAACCACCTTATCACATAAAAAATAATAATCCCTCAATTGCCCAAATATTTATCACATAGAGCCACTGTCAAGACAAACGAGAAGCATATACACACAAAAATTCTTAGTCTTTAATTCTTCACTTAAAAGGTTTACATGAACTTCCTTCATTCAGTGGTAGTCCTCAAACTTTTGGTTTCATATCCCTGTACACTCTAAACCATGAGGACTCCAAAAGGTTTTGTGTAAACTTTATCAATATTTACCATAAAAGAAATTAAAATAGTATTTTTAAAACATTTATTAATTTAATAATAAACTCCTGTGTTAACGTAAAATATTTTTATGAAAAATTTGAATTCCCAAAACAAAAAAATTGATGAGTAGCACGGTTGTACATTTTCCCAAACACTTTAATGTTGGACTTAATTAGAATTCTTATATCTAATTCTGTATACATTCTGCTGAATGTGTTCTTCTGGTTGAAATATATAAAAAAAATTCAGCTTCACACAAACATGTAATTAGTTGAAAAAGGAAGACCTAGCAGACCTCTGTAAAGACCTCCCATTGCGGTTCTCAAACAGTGGGGCCGCAACCCCTTTGGGGGTCGAACGACCCTTTCACACGGGTCGCCTAAGACCATTGAAAAAAACATATTTCCGATGGCAATTCATAACAGTAGCAAAATTACAGTTATGAAGTACAAACAAAAATAATTTTATGCTTGGGGGTCACCACAACATGAGGAACTGTATTAAGGGGTCAAAGCATCAGGAAGGTTGAGAACCACTGATCTCCAAGATGAGATCTTTGAGATCTCATATGAACTATTTCTGAAAAGATCATTAAACCAATAATTAATACCAGGTTGAAAACATGAATAATTTCAAAAAGCTTTACATTAATTCACAGAAGACACGTCTATAATCAATTATTAAGGCAAACTAAGATGTTTATATAGCCTTGGTTTTTAAAATTGATGTTAGGTGGATATGTACATACACATTTGTACATTTCTTCTAATAGTTAATACAGGGAAGAAGAATAAACTACGTTGAGATGTCGGTCAGATTTCATATAGCAATTCTAAAATGTAATAAAATACAATTTTTCACCCTGGCCGGTTTGCTCAGCGGTTAGAGCGTCGGCCCATGGACCAGACAGTCCAGGGTTCAGTTCCTGCTCAGAGCACGTACCTCGGTTGCAGTTTGTCCCCGGCCCCAATTGGGGTCGTGTGGGTGGCAACCACTCGATGTGTCTCTTTCACATCGATGTTTCTCTCTTCCTTCCTCTCTCCCTCCCGTTCTATTTGAAAATAAATGCAAAAATGTCCTCGGGTGAGGATAAAAAATAAAAATAAAAAATAAATAAATAAATAAATACATAAAATAAACTTTCTCATTTCTTAAAAATTTTTAAAGAGCTGAGGCAAATAGCTCAAATGTCAAATTTGTTAAATCTTAATAGTAGTATGCAAGTCATCATTTCAAGCTTATTAAAATATAAAAATTTAGTCAAAAAAGTAAACTTATTCATGATCATAAGTGTACCTGATGATCTCACTGATCTCCTTGATATCCTGTCAGGACTAACTGATCGATAGCTTTTTGGACTACCTCTAAATGGATTTCTCATTCGATATGGTGAACGAGACCTGGATCTGTATCTAGCAATGAAACGATGGCAAATTCTTGGACTTCGACTTCTTGGCCTATATATATAACGTGTTGGGCTTCGAGATCGATGGAATCTGTGACTTGAGCTTGATCTCCTAGAATGTCTAGGACTGAGGGAATGAGAACGTCTTCTTGGAGTTTCATTTTCTTTTCTATTGCCTTCATTTCTACAAAGTACAAAAAAGACACACAAAATTCAGCAATTTAATGTAAATTTAAGCTATTTAAATTGCAGAAATAATTTCTTAAAAATAGGCTATTAACAATAGCAAACTCTGATACTATGTGTTTATTATAAACAAAAACTTGTTTATTATGATGTAATTTAGCCTTGAGACAAGAAAGAAATAATCAGCCCTCTAACTGCATGGACCCCTCTGTTTTGCTAACTTACAGAAGAATATCATCATCAATTTCTTGGCCTTTTCCTGTACCACTATTATATCCAAATATATTTTGGAAGTATTAAGTTACATAAAAAATTTAGAACAAAAGAAAAAAAAAGAATTTAGGAAATGATTTATATAGAAAAATGCTTTTCAACATTTTTTTCCCTAAAAGGTTATGCCATCTACAGATATTTATTTGACCTCTATACTTGTATATATGCACAATGAATAGGGACCACCCCTAGGGAATACAAAGTTTAATAAAACCATTACCATCCTTCAAGGCATTTATAATCTAAGATTCCATAAATATAAAATAATAAAAGCATAAAGTATATTAAGAAAAGACTGAATGAAAGTCTAGAAGAGGAGAACTACAGCATTTAAATTGGGGTAAAACTCAATTCAAAACGATACCTTTGTTTAGTATAAAGTATGTGCTTACTTTCTTTTTATAATTTTTTTTCTTTATTGATTTTTTAGAGAGAGAAGAAGGGAGAGAAAGAAACAGAAACATCGATGAGAGAGAACGAGATTAGCCACCTCCTACATACCCCTCACTGGGGATTGAGCCTACAACTTGGGCATGTGTCCTAGCCAGGAATCATACTAGCAACCTCTTAGTGCATGGGTCAATGCTCAAACACTGAGCCACACTGGCCAGTCAGGACTTGCTTACTTTTCAAAAAAAAATCCAGTTTCAATAACATCACTATTAAAAAAATAATTACCTTCTGTGGTGATTGTGGGGGGCAGAGGGAGGATGGAGGTAGAAGAGGGCATAGAGGGCATAAATGGTGATGCAAAAATAAAAAAAAAAAATTTTTTTTTTAAATATAAAAATATAATTACCTTCTTGATGGAAGGATCTCAGGATTCCAATCAGGATACCTATTTTGAAAATAAATATAATTTAACAGTCAAAATAGGATCATAAGGCTCAAGTGATCTTTCCCTGCAATATATCTATCTGTTCAAAACTCATGTTTACATAGCAATTTATTAGTATATTAATATACAAAATTTTCTTGGGAATAAAATATTTTGAGTGTCTCACATTCAGCGATTTTGAATCACTGTGCTGCAAGAATTTTTAAAATATGCAATACCTGACTATTTAGTCAGGGGCAATGATCTCTTTTCCCTTAGATTGTCAAATACAAAAAATGGCAACAGTCAACACAATAGCCATCTGGTATGACTGAATCAAAATTATACCTATTCTTTTGTCAGACTGGCCAAAAATATGTTTTTCAGTGTGTTGCAGAATATTAGTAATTAGTTTATGTGTGTCATGAGATTTTTAAAAAAGTTGAAAAATCTCTGGTCTTATTCAAAAAATAAAATATTATGCTAGTAGGCAATTCCAAGGGGAAAAAAACAGATCCCCCATACTTTAAGGACTTCAAAATTTTTGCAAATAGAACAAGGAGTACACATAAAGGTACAGAAGATGTATGAGATAGAAGCTCAGGTAGGGAGGAGGATTAAAAGAAGAAAGACACTTCGCATGCTTTGCAGAACTTCAGGGAACACTATTCTACAGAATATAACATGAATGGTGCACCTTACACTGTACCAAGTAGTCCTCAGAGATACATCCAGCACAAAGAATCAGGAAGAGAATTCACGGAAAAAGGTTGCTTTTCAGGTAGCCCTTAAAAAAGTCTATCAACAGGCACGGATCAGGCAACACAGAGGATTAGAGGCAAAATGTACTCTATTCCAGAAACCAGTCTGGCTGAAGCATGAAAATGCTGAAAAGGAATCATGAGGAGGAAAAAAACCTGTAAAGTTATCTGAGAGACAAAATGTGAAAGTTCTTAAAATCAGGTAAAGAGGGTACACATAAATAAAAGACTATGAAGAACATAGTATTTATTTCTAAAGTGAAGAGAATACAGGAATATTTTTAGAATAATCAGAAATAAACATCTGGAATTAGGGGGAAAGATGAAGGTTGAGATATGGAGAAGCCATACTATAGTACTAAGAATAAAAGACTAACACAGAATGGGAATTTGTAGGGAAAAAAAAGAGGGTTGAGGAAAGAATCTTAGGCACACCAACACTTAAGAGTACAATAAAGATAAACCAATGAAAGAGATTAAGGGGTATTCAGAGCAAGAAAAAGTAGGAGGAACAGTAACAATGTAGAAGCCTAAAAAAAAGACACCCTGATCCTTAACTTTGCTAGAGAATGTGGACTCTAAAGGTTCATTGGAAATGGTGATTACATTAAACCATTAGAAAACACCAGTATTCAAGTATATAATTTCAGTAACCAAGAAGAGAGCCACCTAAGGAAATGGAAGCAGCAGACTCTTTCAGGAGTCACCTGGCAGGAAAATAACCTTAGTAAATGTAAAGTAAGTGTTCTATTGTTGTTTTTTAAAATATATTTTTATTACTTTTAAAGAGAGAGAGAGAAACATCGATCAGCTGCCTCCTGCATGCCCTCTTCCTGGGACTGGGCCCACCATACCAACCAGGGCTAAAGTGGTTTTTATTTTTTGCTATTTGTTTCAGACATTGTTAGCAGGTTAACTTGACAGCAATTCTCAACTTCTTTTTTTACCTTGCCTGCCTCTACTACAATGGCTAACAAGGCTAAATATTTGCTTTCCCAACCTCCTTAGAAGATAGTCAGTGATAGATTCTAAGACTTCTGAGAAAGCTTTTGCTTCCTTCTTCTTGCTTTGAGGTGACAAACTATGAAGACAAAAAAAAGTTAACTTTAATTCAATGTGTCCATCACCTAACATCAACAACTGTCAAAACATGGATAATTCTGTTTCATCTACTCCTACACTTTTTAAAACTTTTGTTACTCTGTACCATCTAAGCAGATCAATTTCTAATATTATGGTATAGTGTTTAATGCAACACCTTTGGAATCAAACAAAGTTGGATCTAAGTGTAGGTGCTGCCATTTAATGGTTGTGTATCTGACAGCCAGTTACTTAAGTTTTAGCTTTCTTGTATGTACAATGTTGGAAATTACAGCTGGCTGTCAACACATGCAAAGTTACTGAATTTCTAGAGCTTTCCAGTTTATGGTTTCACAGGATTTTGAGGCCTATCATTCAATAGTTGGTAATAATATTCAGTTCTTCACTAGGCTGACTGCTAGAATACATGTTCTTGTTTTGGCTGCCCAGAAAGAAAGATAAAGTACAAATACTATTCTGCAAGTAGAGTTTGGACTGTCTATATATTGCCTATAGAGTTTAAAATGTGTTTCAGAAGCATGATACTCCTTATATATGCTGTGTAATATAATGGCTAAGAACAAGGACCTAACAGACACTGTGTGTCCCACCGTGATATAATAAATATACCCATAAAAATTGGGACAGAAAATATTCAACCTGAATTTAACAATGAGGAACAAACAAAGTAAACATCATGAAAAATCCTCCTCAAAAATAAAGGCCACAGAGTGAACTGTTCTACATTCAGAGACTGAAATGCATGAATCTTTTTTTTTTTTAATTTATTTTTTATTGATTAATTTTTGTTACAGATGATTCTCCTTTTTTCCCCCTGAAATGCATGAATCTTGATTTGAATCTTGAATTGGTAGTGTGGATGGAAAAGAAAGGGTAGGCAGAAATAGTTATAAAAGGCGAAAACAGGTGGAAGACAGACATTGAATTGAGCAGTGAATTGTCATAAAGTTTGAAATTTATTTTCAAATAGTTCATAAAGATAATATGTTTACTATCCCTTCAACTTTTTTTGCAGCTTAGAAATGTTTCAGAACAAAATGTCAAAGGGGAAAAAAGAAGCCAAGACCCATGAGATAGACAGACTAGTTTTGTCAAATATTTGTTGTGTGATAGTATGAAATTTACCCCACTGTACCTCAGTTTCCTCACTGGTAAAATCACAAATAATCATTATACATCTATCTCATAGGGTTGCTTTCAAGAATAAATAAATAATGTAAAGCACTTAAAATAATGCCCAGCACACAATAAGCATATAGTTTTTATTATTTTTAATATTAAAACTCTGATGCACTGTATCTTTTCTCAAGTTACCCAGCAATTCTTTTGTCCAGAAAGATCCAACAAAGACAAAGAGAATCAAAAGGCAATAAGCCTTAAGAAAAGGAGTAAGAACCTAAATATACACTGATAGAGAAATGACTAAATAGATTAAGGTATATATACACAATGGAATACAATGAAGCTTAAAATCAAACAAAGAACAGAGTAACATATACTATCTGGCCATGGAAGGATTCCAAATGCCTAATTTAATTTAATTTATCTGTTTGTTTGTTTTTTTGCAGTGGAGACAAAGCCATGAAGGAATTCAAGAACATATAACCTGAAAAGAGGTAATAACGTAGGATAGAGAAAGCACGTGCTTTAAAATATACGCATGGAAAAATAGGCTTATTTACAGAAAATGCTTTAGCAGGCATCCATGCCATTTGCTCTAGTAAATTAATGACAGTCCACGTAGGTAGAATCCTATCACTATCATTAATGCCTACCTACAGCAAGTAACTCATTCCTACCTAAATCCCTGAGTACATAACTCATTCCCACCTAAATCTCTCACCTTCATAAGCATCCCATTTGTATCAGTGGGAAAATTTGTGGCTTAGAGATTTTTCCACTTAACAGTGACACACCCAATTCAGGTAACAATTATCTCCATATGATAACCTATGTTTCTCTGCACAGCCTCTATATAAGGAAGCAACTGCCATCTCTATTCTTAGTCTTTATGATTCAAGTAGGGTTTATATTATACACAACACACAAAGAGTAGGCACATGACAACAACTGAGGTAGAAAACCCTGTTCCTATAATCATTAGAATTAGCTTAGAGGTGAACGACTAACCCAAAGTAGACCGAAAGAGTCAAACCAAAGACTTCTGCAGCAGTTTTTTTTGTTTGTTTTAATCCTCACCTGAGGACATTTTTCCATTTTTTGTTCAGATTGAGTGGGAGGGAGTGAGAGGAAGATAGAGAGAGAGAGAAACATTGACGTGAAAGGGATACATCGAGTGGCTGCCACCCAACACGACCCATTCAGGGCCGGGTATAAACTGCAACCGAGATACGTGCCCTTAGCGGGAACTGAACCTGGGTCTCTCTGGACCACAGGCCGACGCTCTAACCGCTGAGCCAAACTGGCCAGGGCTGCAGCGGTTTTGATGAAAGATATGTTTACTTAACAACAACAACAAAAAACCTCCTAGCTATACAGATCACTTAAGTCCATAACTATAAGGGTCACTTTGCTCTATGAAGAAAAGTGTGCCTGAGAGCTCATGAGGCCAAAGCAGAAGAGAACAGCCAAAAAACCAAAATATTTCTCACACTTAGAATTTTGTTGAGCATCCAAAGGTAGCTGTTTTGAAACTAGAACTACTCTTTACGCTTCCCCGTTAAATGAGTTAATAAATTATCTTACTTTAAAAACTACTCTGAGTTAGGTTCATCACTTACAACTCAAGTCCTAAATAATCTCAAAAAAATTTGGTGAAGTTTTCATAAAGAACAAAATACATAAAACCAAAACAACTGCCGCAGATTCATTTGACCAAGAACACATTACTGTAAGTCTAGTGGCGTGGAACTTGACATCCAATTATATCAGCATGTTTAATGATGCTAGGGAAAAGACTACTTAATTTTGTGTTACTCCAAGGGACATAACAGAATACTGTTAAAATCACATTTTTCACCTGCATAGGTACCCTATCTTAAAGAAGGAAAAGATGGAAGAGTAAGAGTCAATTTGAGTAACCAACACATCTAGCTTGTTCATCTCCTACATTAAGGTTTATTCTGAAAATAGGTTCTCTGCCAGAGGAGAACTCTAGACCTGCAATTAAATGCTGGGATTTGGGTTGGGTGTTTTGGGGAATTTTTTTTTGCGGGGGAGAAGGGTAGGGAGACACACAAACAAAAAAGTAGAGAATGAAAGACTATAAACCACCTCAAGAAATACAGACCAGCAAGGAATAAACCAATGATACTAAAAATCTACCTGAGATTAAATTAGGAAGAAGTCAGAAGAAATGGTCATATTTAATTCCTTTTGGGAAAAAAAATTAAGTACATTTCTATAAAATGAATACTTCAAACAGACAGTAGCTTTCTAAAAATATTTTTCTCTAAAATACCACACTAAAGGTATTAAACAGTTATACCTGAGCATTAACTATTATGTAAATTTGCTACCTATAAAAAAAATTGTTCTTACTGTTGACGTAACTGTCGGCAGCTCTCAATATGAGTAGATGTATTTTGATGCTGAATCCAATCCTATTGTAAGAGGAGAAAAGTGCTGAAATTAGAATATTTCTCGTGTTGCATTATGAAGTTAGGCTTTTTAGGTTGACACAGCAACCCCCACCCCACCACCACAAATTAAACAAATCTACGTACAGATAGCATTTGGCTATTCAATAAAATCTTTTACAAAGAAAAACAAAGGCCTCCAAACAAAGGCACTAATACCATATCTCATTGATGCCATTTAAAAAAATTTAAGCATTAAAAAATCACACCCATGAATACTCTTTTATGAAATATATATTTAAACTTGGAGAAAATAAAAGCATTGATCAGAAATAACTTATCTCAGATATAAAAACAACCTGTCAGAGGAACACTAAAAACTATGAATAAAATGGTATATGAAATGGCATCTTCAAAACACAGGGTTTCAAGCTAATAACATTAACAATAAAAAATCCTACCTCATAGGCCAGTACCATTCCAGACTATATTGGCAAAGGATAAAATTAGTAAAAATATGAAAAGCTGATGATCAAATCTAATTTATTTTTAAGATTTAAAGGAAAGTAACATCATTTCAGAGACACAATATCCCTTACATAGAGAGCTTTACAATGAACAAAATGCTTTCTTATACATTACTTCCTTTACAAATCTGCCCTAAAGTTACATTGTGTACCCATAAATAGCTCCTGGAAGATACAACTGATTAAAAAGAAGTAATACAGTTTTCAAAGATACAGTTCTCCAAGTGAAACAATTAGTTAAAAGCAACATATATATTACTCAATGTTTTATTGTTTTTCCAGTATCTGGACAGACAGAAAATTTAGTTTACAGTTCTGTATTTGAAAACTTTCCTTGAGAAAAATATTACTCATTTCCATTTCAATAGTACTTTATTTGGTCATTGCTAAAGACGAACTAGAAATGTCCAGTTAAAACCACAGTTGACACTAATTATGAAATCTGCCTTGTCAAGAACTATCTCAAAGTAAGTGAATGCTACTTGCAATACTCAACAGGTTATAACAAACCCTAAACTGTGTCATTAAGCCAGGGAACCAATTACGGACTGCAAAAAAGAAAAGTTTGCATATCCTGGTCAGTGATACAAATAGAATACTAGTAGAGATCAGCAATTATCAAGTCTCTAGTACTGCTAAACCCATGTCTTTGACAGTAACTGAACATCATTTACATCAAACAGACACACTGGCAGGTAGTGGATTGGGCATGATTTATTTGGACCATAAAGTGTTTTATATGAGTAAGGTGCCAATATTTAAAAATCCCCCAAATCCAGATTTCCAACTTTTCTTTAAAAAAATATAAACACATAATACTGGACATGTGTTCTATATATCAACTATTAGCTCATGCTGATAGCTGCCCTATTTAAGGCATAGTCTCTCCAGTTCTACACACAAATGCACGCCCCACTCTCTACTGTATTTTAATAGGTCCACTCCACTCACTGACACTACTTGCTTTAAGCTCAGTAAATATATCTATGCCACCCCAGTTGAGACTATCTATTTAACAGTATAAAGATTAAAAGAAGGTCCGAAAGCAGTACTGCCTCTCCAAAGAGTGATAATTACCTAACTAAGCAGGAGATGCTGCACAGACTAGAGTTGAGAGGGCCCAGAATCAAACTGTAAAAATAACTACCCATATCAGAGCTCACTCACTATCCTCCAACTACCTCAAAAATCTTTTGTCAGTCAGTACTTTCTCAACTGTATTTTTTAAAAGATAGTTTTTAAACCAAGCACATCCTACTGAACCAAGAACAGTAATAAAAAAAATTAAAAAACAAAAACAAAAACCCAGGACAGCTACTCATCCAACATCTAAATCCCAATTTAGAAATAAAAATACATTTCACATTCTATAGTTGCCTTTTTCAGGCTACATTTTTAAAGACCCCAGAGGTGGGGATCATATTAGCAGATGTTACTTAGAAAGAAAAAAATTGCAATTGGTAACTTATACTTATTGGCCACGCATTTATAATGTCACATATATGCACACTTACAAGGCAACAAAATATATCACAGAAACGAGAGGTAGTTTGTATCACGTAAGTCCACGTTCATAAATCCCTATCAGTTAGTCATCTAGTGGTGAAGCATTTATCCAGTTAGCCCTATTGTGCTGTTTTGACAGTTAAAAGGTGTTTGTTTTAAATAGCAATCAATCCCAGTGAACTCTAATGATCACTAAATGGTTTATTTTCCTCTCTAAATTTTACTTTTATTATATTAACCCAGCCTTTCACCAGGAAAACCTAGAATTATTATCTCTTCTCGTTACTGTTTACCCATGTCAACAAGATTTATCTCCCCAAAATATGCTTTTTACATGTCACATCACATATCAAGAACCTTAATTTAGCTTCCTAATGACTCTCAGCTCAAGTCTAAACTTCTTCGGCTAGCTTTTCAAGTCCTTTTGTACTTATAGTTGTTGCTCAAATATGAATTTTAATTCCTCCTCCCTCAGGTATACTGAAGCCTATTTATTCATCATTCAAAATCCATTTCAATCTATCCCATGAAGTCTTCCCTCCCAGTTCATTCAAGTACAGAAAGACTTAGTGTAGTTAGTCACCATCACTCAATCTATACAGGTTTCTTGATGTCAAAGTATATTTAGACTTCTTATTATTTACATATTGCTGACTATATAATGGGTGTTGAAAAATGTTCATGCTGGCTGAACTGATATAAGCCTGAAATCAAAATAAAAAGATGAAGTATATCTCCCCTAAGCGCACCCAAGCATGTTAAATACACTAAACCATTTTGTTGTCCTCTATTTTTTGTGTGTGTGTGTGTGTGTGGTACATGACCCTAGCGGGAACCGAACCTGGCACTCTCTGGTCCGCAAGTCGATGCTCAACCGCTGAGCCAAACTGGCCAGGGTGTGTTGTCCTCTATTTTTACTTAATTCCTTAGGTGTGTAATTAGAAGACAGTGAGACTCTACAAACTGTTTAAGAACATCTAAATTTTATATAGTTCCTCACTTCTGCCCCAGCACCTAATACAGTTATGTGTAAAACTAGTAATCAGTAAATACCAACTGAATAAATGTATACCTTTTCTACAACAAAAATTAAAACTTTTAAGTTCTTTATTTTAAGGTATTTTTCTTAGATTTATCATGACTAAATGGAAGTTCAAAATAAATGGAACACAGAAAGCCTAACACTCAATTCGGTACTTAGGCCAGGGCTATTTACAGGTTACAATTAAGTGCTATAAATTATTCTGAGATTTTTCAAGACTCTGCTATCCCCTTTGACAGGGTAAGGCAACTATTATTTCATTAGAACTCAGCAAATCTGGCTAAAATGAAGTAGAATGCTACTTTTCTTTGGGGAGTTAACCTTAAGACAAAATCATCAGCTCTAGGTATCAGATTCTTGTTGGCTGAAACCTGATGAGTGAGTAATAGAAAGAATAAAAGGACAGCACTGCAAGGGAGAAAAAACAAGAGAATTAATACCTACAGATTTTTAAGCCTATTCAAAGCATACAAATAATGCTATGGCCTTCAATCAATGCTTGTTCCCATGGGAAGGACATTTCTTCTTGACCATTATGATATAAATCTACAAATTACATCAGTAAATGAAAGAAACGGTTTCCAAACATATATAAGTAAATAAAACATACTTGAAAATTCCTACTCAAATCCACCAATGATTACTAACAGTATACTCTACATTATTCACCTCTGTTAAAACACCTCCTTCTAACTGTACTAATCATGGAAGATACCTAAGGCTTCATTCTTTTAAAGATTTTTCTCTAAACTTTTATCACTTTACACTCCATTCAGTGAACCCCCAGCTGGTCCCCAAATAACTCACTGACTCAATTCTGCTACGATTAAGTTAGTTTAGGAATCTTCTTCTCATGAAACACTAAAAATCCTAGTCCAGATAGTCAGAATATAATTAAATTGACATTAACTGTCTTTAGCCCAAGATATGTAGATACATGCAAGACTACAACAAACTATCTCTTCAAAGTGTATAGTACAACTGTTTCATTCCAACTTTTTCTTTTTATACTAACGGATTCTTTTATTTAAAGTGACTCATGTGATCTTGTCTTATAAGCATACAGTTTATGTTCTATAAATTGTATGCTGCATAAATTACTGAGATAATTAAAAGTTCAAAATAAACAGATGAACCATGTAGTGTGCCCAGTCACAGGAATATAGAAAGCCTAACACTCAACTCAGTACTTAGGCCAGGACTACTTAGATTACAACTAAGCGTTGATGTTGCAATCAAAATTAACTTCTGCCATTTCCTTAATGCCTAGTTAACACTAGCATACAAGAGAATTTAGCAGAAACTTGGGCGCTGAGTATCATACAGTGATGTTTAAAAACACTCACCTTCAAATGACTACATTCTACGTTACACAGAGAACACAAATGTGGGAATATTCTTGGAGATGCTGCATAATAATCATTCATCATAGAAGGAGTTGGAAGTCTCTTCATCTTCTGGGCATCAGCATGTGAAAACTTTGGTAGCCAGGATGCTTTCACAATCCCAAAGGGAGACTGAATGGGAATGTCAGCCTCTGTCTGATAATTCTTTTTACTTCCTCCTGATCTGTGTACATTAGATGAATTAATCACAGGCTCACGTGGGATCCGCTCTTGTTGGCTTACAGCTGAAATTAATTCCGATGAAAAAGGCTGCTGGTTCATAGATGGAGGAATCAGAGACCGACTCATTGTCTGGTTAACTGTTTGGTTAATGGACTGGCTGACACATTTTACAGGTTCAAGGACTGACTGTCTTCCTGAAATGTGTAAGCCTGACATTTTAGTTCCACTCTCAACTGGGAAAAAGGATTGATTATTGGAGGACTCACTGGGGAAGTCCATCTGTCGAAACACATCTTCAACAGGAAACATAGAATTACATATCACATTTGGTGCAGGAACAGACGCAGAAATGCTCTGCTGTGACCGAAATTCATTCTTGACCTCATCAGTTGGAATTTCAGGATCATAAATACGTACTTCAAGTGGATCTTCTGTGTAGCCATATTTGCTTGCATGCCCATAATCAATCACATTACTTGAAACTGCTTCGCTACCAAAGGTTTCTTTATTTCTGCTCTGAGAAGGTAAATTAGGTAATCGGCGCCCCATTTTTCGCATTCTTATATCCCTCAAAATTAATGGCATATTTTCAGGAGTTAGCTGTTCATCAGGATAGCGACTGAGTTCTTCTAAATCTTCATTAGATAATCCAAAACTTGCTAAGATGCTGGAGGCACTCTCCTTTGTATAGCGGCTCTGTACTTTAGGGCCTTGCTCTGTAACCTGTGTTACAGAACTCTGTTTTACTCCCACTGATGCAGATATCTGAGACTCATCATCCCACCGGCTACCATGAGGCTTCCCCTTCATTTGTTGTGCTTCATGAAAATCCAGTTTTTCTTTGGTCAATCTTGGATCAGTTCGGTGTTGAGTTACCTGAACATTCATCCTCTGTGGTCCCATGTTCTGATAAGACTCATGGCCAGCAAATCTGTGTGGAATTCCACGGGCTCTCCCTGCTGGGTAAAATCTTGGAAGACCCATAGATCCAGGCCTCATAAATGGTCCTGGAGGCCTCATCCCAGAAGGGTTAGGTGCTCGTGGCCTCGGAAGTGGAAAGTTTCCTCGAGGATTAAACCTGGGTCTCGACATGGCTATTTTCAAGAAAGCCTGATTTAATAAAGTATAAGGTGGTGTTGAGCTATGTGAGGCAACGGCATTCAGCTGCTGAAGCGCCAACTGAGTCTTAATCTGAGCAAAGTACAAAGGAGATGGGCCCAACAGAAGTAGGTTTGCAATGCCCAGGTTCAAGGAATTCACAAGTGGTGCGAAATTTTCCAAGAATAACACAAAGCTGAAAGTTAAAACACAAATATTAGATCATTTTAACTCAAACTACTTCATGAAGTGGGTTCTACAGCCAGTGTAAAACATTTGGAAATAAAGCCATGAAAGGATTCTGCATTTCATACACTTTTAAATTAAGTGCTTACGAGGATTTTAAACTTTCCCAAAAGTTTTCTCTTCTCTTCTTTCCTGAATCCAGAACACACACCCCCAAACCTCAAGTCAGAGGTTCAGTATACTGTGTTGCATTGGGTGCTGTCCTAGGTGGTGAGCGATAATTACAACTCCTAAATAATCTTGAAAAACTGGGAATTATTTCATGCTTTAATACTGGGAAAAAAAAGATGAAGGCATTAAAAATACTTAAAAATGCACACACAGTTGATATGTATGTTATCAGACGTACAAACAATGACAGTAGGCACTGGAAGCCTAAAATTTTACAGACCCATTTCTCCAAGACACAACCTTCCTTGGAATCACATCTAATAAATTCCATGTAGCAATTAGATTATGCTTAAGGTTCTGCAGTTGTTTCTTTTAAGATGAAAACGTATCGCCAACAACTTGACTACAGAGTCTGACAGAAGACGGCCTGCGGACCAGAGAGTCCCGGGTTCGATTCCCACTAAGGGTACGTACCTCGGTTGCAGTTTGTCCCCGGCAACAGTTGGGGTTCATGTGGGTGGCAACCACTCGGTGTCTCTCTCATATCGATGGTTCTCTCTCTCTCCCTTCCTCTCTTCTTCCCACCCTATATAAAGATAAATCAAAAAAAAAAAAAGTCCTCCGGTGAGGATAAAAAACAGTCTGACAGAAAAATATACAGTAGCAGAGAACTGATTATAACGTACAAAAAAATATGTAACAAAACCAGTCACTTTTCTTTTAGATCCTCTCCAGACTGAGAGACAGATACACAGGCAAGCAAAAGTAGGTTTATAGTTGTGAGTATGTGAAATAGTTTATTCTTGTATTATTATTATTATTATTATTTATTATTGTAGTATTTGTATTACACCTTTAAACCTACTTTTGTCCACCCCTGTATATATGGACAATAACAATGATTAACTTCATAGTTACTTTACATGGACTGATTCATTTCTCACAACCCCGAGATATGCACAGTTTTATGAGGAGGATACTGAGGCACAGAGGAAAGTTAAGTAACTTACACAGATAAGCGGCCAGGCCAAGATTTACACTCAATGTATTTTGGCCCCATAATCCATGCTTTTAACTACCAATAGGTGCAAGCAAGAAAACCTTTGCAATTCCCAGGCACTGTTTTAGTTAAAAATGGTTGCTGTCCAGCCCTTCGGAATGCAGCACAACTCATTCCAACCCACTTCTCAGAGAAATAGTACTTTAGCTATCATTCAGGACCATGGTCAGCAGTCACAGAACTTGCCTTCTCTTAGTTTAAAAAAAAAAACAACACAAACTATTCCTATGCCTTCTATCAAGTCCCTACTTTTTATACCCAATAGAAATGAATGGTGGGAAACGTGAGATATTCAGGCACTTGTGCCTACTATGGAAACCCAGACCATGAATCCTATTTTATAATCATCACTTTCTGATTAAACTACAACTTCATCTACAACTACACTATACACTATCTTCTTTATATATGTTAGTGAAATGGTGATTTGGCTGAGAAATGGGCTTTATTTGATAACACTCTCTCTTTCAACCATCTTGCAGGCGGCCACATTTAATCTTTATAAAAACATTTTTACCACATCTCTCCACTCAAAAATCCAAGAGAATCTCATCCCCTTAACTTTTAAGCTTTATGTGAAAGGTATAATTAATCTAGGCAATCTCTACACTTCTAATTTTACTAAACACTTAATCCAGCTAGACCTTAGCTCCTATTCCTCTCTTTCTACCTCCCTTCTTCTCTTCCAATAAAAAATACATGAGCCCTGGCTGCTTTTGCTCAGTGGTTAGAGCATCGGCCTGCAGTCCAGAGAGACCCAGGTTCAGTTCCCGCTAAGGGCACGTACCTTGGTTGCAGGTTTGTTTTTTGATTTTTTAATCCTCACCCAAGGACATTTTTTTCCATTTCTTGTTCAGACAGAGTGGGAGGGAGAGACAGGAAGAGAGAGCAAGCGAGAAACATCGATGTGAAAGGGACACATTGAGTGGCTGCCGGCCTGCAGTACAGAGAGACCCGGGATCGGCCGGCAGTACAGAGAGACCCGGGATCGGTTCCCGCTAAGGGCATGTACCTCGGTTGCAGTTTATCCCCGGCCCTGGTTGGTCGTGCGGGTGGCAGCCACTCGATGTGTCCCTTCACATCGATGTTTCTCTCTCTCTCCCTCTCTTCCTCTCTCTCCCTCCCGCTCTATCTGAACAAAAAATGGAAAAAATATCCTCGGGTGAGGATAAAAAAAAAAAAAAAAAAAAATGCCCTGGCCGGTTTGGCTCAGCGGTTAGAGCGTCGGCCTGCGGTACAGAGTGGCTGCCACCCGCACAACCAACCAGGGCCGGGGACAAACTGCAACCGAGATATGCGCCCTTAGCGGGAACTGAACCCAGGTCTCTCTGGACCGCAGGCCAATGCTTGAACCACTGAGCCAAACCGGCCAGGGCTATCTCAGTTGCAGTTTGTCCCCGTTCCTAGTTTGGGTCTTGTGGAAGGCAGCCACTTGATGTGTTGCTTTCACATTGACGTTTCTCTCTTCCTCTCTCTCCCTCCCACTCTATCTGAACAAAGAAATGGAAAAATGTCCTCAGGTTCAGGATAAAACAAAAAACACAAGAAAAAACAACTTTGCCATGGACCTGATTTATTTTATTTTACTCATCCTTCAAAGTAAGTCTCCATTAAACCTTCCTTGACCACCAAGGCCAAGAGTGAGTCTTCCAACAAACTTTCTTATTTACTGCTTATACCATTTTGGGACTCGTACCTTTTAATATCTTCTTTTTGTGTTCACAGGTACAGTCTTTCTCAACAATCTAGTCTCAAGTAAAGGCATGTTCATTGTTGTCTTCTTGACCACATAGGATATAACTCTATTCTTATGCAAAATACCCTCAAATACTTGTTAAGCTATTTGAATGATCACATCCAAAGTACTCATAATTGTGAATGGATAAAAAAGCTGTGGTACATATACACAATGGAGTACTATGCAGCTGTAAGAAAGAAAGATCTCTTATCCTTTGAGAAGACATGGAGGGACCTGGAAAATATTATCCTAAGCGAAACAAGCCAAACAGAGAAAGACAAGTATCATATGATTTCACTTATTTGTGGAATATAATAAACATAACAGTCTGAGGAATGGGGTAGTCCCAGAGACGTGGAAGTGGGGTACAGACGGACAATCCCCAAAAGAGGGGGTGGTGGGGGAGAGATAAACCACAGAACTTATATACATGTGTGCATGAACAATGGACATGGACAACAAAGCTGGGGACAGGGCGGGGGGGGGGGGGAGAGGGAGGAGGGAATCAGTGGGGGGAAAAGGAGAAACATCTATAACAAAAATAAATTAATTTTTAAAAAGTACTCATAATTGTCATAGATTATTAATTTTCAAATTAGAATGAAACAACACAAAAATACATTAGCATGAAACAACACAAATTAGAATGAAACAACACAAAAATACAATATTACACGGGCTTCTGATTCACCAGATGCAAGCAACAGGCATAAGTTTACTGAAAAACTATATCTAAATTCTCTGTAAATAATGCTCATTTAGCAGAAATTCCAGGTCTTTTTCAACAATCATAAATCATATGAAACTGTACCTACCTTCTACACAAAAAAAGCACTTCCAAAAACAACTTTGTCTTGACCCAGTCCACAAAAACAATCATTGCTTATGCAAGCAAGCAGTTGGTCATCTAGTTACACTCTTTATGTACTATTTTCCTGAATGGTGAAGATTCCTTTCACAACTTTAGAAGCACAAACTCTTCCAAATATTGTTTCTCCCCCAGAATAAACCAAAAGGAACCAATTTCAGTCAGTCACCTAATTATTACATGGAATTGTGAACATGTATCATTAGAAGTACCTACATTTTAAGTCTTTAAAAGTGAAAAAACTATGTATGTACATATTTCCTAATGTGACCAGTGCTCTTAACAATGATGCAAGTATACATTTATAGACTGCAAGAGAGCAGCCCTTCACATAATGTGTTTAGAAACTAGTGTCCTGTAAGATTGTAGGTCTTCTACAAAGGAATTCTCTTGTCAAAAAAGTATGAAATGTATTCACGTGCTATGTTTCTTAGAGGTCATGTTAAAGGCTTATTAAAGGCTCTGAGGTCCACTGTTGTTTATCAAAAAATGTTTATTCATTTTGCACTTCCCAACCTTGAATTTTCCTTCATGTATATACCCAGGAGTGGTATTCGGAATATTTAGTAATTGGTAAAGCACAAGCAGTGAACAATCAACAATTTGTGCCTTACTGTGTGTAAGCAGGGCCCTAAGCCCCTTCTTCCTCCACTCCCATTAAGTTTTCAGCTGCTGTGCATAAGGTGATGGCAGGGTGGTCCTCAGGAAGGAAGTACAACAGTGGGGAAAACAGAAGTCCACCTTTGGGGCAACAGCTACTTACTAATCAGGGAAAAATTATTTCAGTATTTTAACAACCAGCATATCTGTACCAGTGTGCAGTCACTGAGTATCAGTCCTGAAAAGACACCAGTTTTTCACACAATAGTCAAATATATACAAGAGAAGAATTAAAAGGCCTTTTCCTAATTAAAGAATTTCAACTATCAAAAAGCAGAGTTTTGGCTGGTCTGCATTTTTTTAGCAGCCTTAAAAAACTCACACTGGACTTCCTATATAGTTAGTCCATTGTGAGATCTAATATAATGACGACAAATTTAACAGTCCTAGCTCTCCCAAACAGATCTTCCCCGTCTCTTGGTAAGACAAGTTATAGTCCTGTTCAGCCACAGTGGTAAGACAAGTTAAAGGTCTGTATAGCCAGTTATTTAAGTATTCTGATTCCAACATCAT